TCGCCCTTTTTTAACCCCCCCCCCCACTCCCTTTTTTTATTTTGCTTACTCAACTGCAAAAGGCGAATGCAATTTTTGTGTAAACAACGCCATAAATTCCAATAGAACTAAACAACAAAACGTTTGGCATTGGCAGACAAGGCCGAAGCCAAAGGCGCGGGGGGAGTGGGCGGTGTAGAAAGGAAAAGCGAGTGGAAAAGCGGAAAAGCAGGGCGGCTTCAATAGCCCAAGAAAGAGCTGAAATTATCATGAAAATGCTGCTTCGGTTATTCGCTTATTCTTTGTTGAAGTCGGTTTTGGTTGAGCGCTGCAAATTTACACGCAATTATTGTGAATGAATGCACAGCCAAAGGGAAATGCCCACTGGAAAATTTAAGGTGGAAAAAAATGCAGGAAAAGCCCTTTGTCATTTGAGAGTTAAGATGCCTTTTCTTCGGCTAAAAGGTTGGAAATAAATTTTATTTGCAAAATAAATATTAATAAAGAAGTCTTAAATCTGTATATCTACCTTTCTTTTGGTGATTTCTATTTGGTTATTCACAACAAATTGACATCAATTCTCGATTTGTTGGCCAACTCATTTAGGGATTTTTCCACAGCCGACTTACAGCTGCGAAACGCACTGTCCACATGCTCTCTTATTCCTTAATACTGTCGCCACAGCAATGAAAGGAACAAAAGGATCGGGAGTAAACTAATCAGAAGTTCATGGCACATTTGGAAAACCCCAAATGTGTGTGGATGGCCCAGTGTTATAACAACCGGATAGAACAGAATAGAGCTAAAATAATTATTTAGGAGTCAGAAACAGGATCTGAAAGTGTGGAAATGAAAATGGGGAAAAACAAAGGGGGAAAATACAGGAGAGTACAGGAAAATTGCATTTGGTCGGCAGCCAAAAGCACTGTGCTTTAATTAGAAGTCGAGGTCAGTCCAGAGACACTGAATCCCCCAACCCCATTAATGTTTTGAATTCCAAACCGAATGGCACATAGTATTCGAATTGAAGTCGATCCATTCGAATGCAAATTTAATTGCCCTTGGTCTTATCAATTTACAGGCAAAAGGCCAAGGAAATGTAAATTCTATCTGCCTAAATACAAAACAAATGTATTTTGCTTATATTTGGAAGGATAAAATTATTATCAAAGGATAATTTTAATATTTCTTGAATATTATTTAAAAAAAAAAGGTACAAAGGATATACAAAATGCTGCTGGCCAGTGTAGACATTGCCATGAACACTTGTTTATGCGTGTTCATTTTTGTGTGTGCTTTTGACAATAAACACATTTACAAGTGCGGTGTTCGTTTGGGGGAAAAACACGCAAAGCAATCATAAAATGTACTTTTTTGGCTACCTTAATGTGATTGTCATACACACACACACACACACACAACGGCAGTCGATTAACACCAACACACAGGCAAACAGCCGGCACACACATGTTTTTTGGGCAATATAAAGCATACGCCGCGTATGACGGGCCCAAGTCGAGCCCAACAAAAGCGGTCGCCGCAAAGGTCCGTTTAACTTAACGTTTCCCACGCGAGCCACAATGTGTGTGTATGAGTGTGGCACACACACTGGTACACTCGCACACCCACACAGTGTCGCATAAAAGTTTTACACCTTGCCAATGAATAAGCGAGTGCAAGTACACTCTGAAAAAAATTAAGTCTAAAACTAAGAAACTTCTCTTAGAATTTTTAAAACGTAAAATATTTCTCAGAGTGTAAATATTGCTTAAGTACTTAAGATACTTATCGATAAAGTATTCTTTAAAAAATACATGTTCTATAACCATGAACATGATTTCTACAAATTATAATAATTAAACATAGCTTCACAATTCCTAGAAACTGAATTTAAAAAAAAAAAAAAATTTTTTTAAATTTTTATAATCTTTCAAAAATAAAATATGATTATTTTTGTGAGTGTATCGGGAATTCAGCTTCCACCATCCAGAATCCGCAGCCATGTGCTGCTCAAATTACTCGACGCCTTCTAACGGCCTCAAGGCTCGTTTAAGATGTTTAGGCCAGCCGCAAGATGTGGCCAAAAGTGAGTACACCAGATGGTAATGTCACTGGGTTTGGGTGGCCCAAAGTGGGGTAGGTCAATGCTAGTTAAGCAGGCGCAAGTACAAAGAAGTTAAGGAAGGGTTGGGCTATGCTTACTGATTTCTCAAATAAGATTCGTTATTTTATTTGGAGGTAGGTATTACTGTCATCAAGTATTATTTTCATTAAAAAGTTACTTTAGTACAACTTTTATTATTTATCCTTAAGGTTTTTAAATTTGTCACATTATTTCCCATATTAGATATTAAATACCGCATTTCGTTTCCATTATTTCCCCATTATGAATTTCATATTGGCTGTTGTGCAATTAAGGCATCACAGATTAAATTGATAATTTATATTTATTTGTTTGTTGTCAACTGACCGAAATTAGCAGCACCTAAACCCTAAAATCGGCCGCAATGATGCCCGGCTGGCAGCATAACCATTCGGGATTAGCCATTGCCATTAACATGGTTCGATTCTCCGAATACCCGAATACCCGAATTCCCATTTCCCATTTCGGATTTCCCAATTTCCCAGTTTCCCTATTCCCCGACTCCCGAGAGACAAACCATACAGCATTATATATGCTCGCATTATGGTCATTGTGCTGCCCATCGTCTCCCTCCGACAAAGTCAATTAATGTGCGGGACATTAAATTAATGATATACGCCGATAGCCACGCCCCCCACTGCCCCCGCCCCCCCCTGCTTGTGGGGCTAATCTGGCTGGGTCGCTCTGCTAATTAGCTTTCCGCCCGGGACCTTGGCAAAAAGAATAAACAGAACCACCAACATACTATATCATTATATGGGTGAAAACATCATGCAGAGAGAACGAGAGGATAATGGGTATGGGAAATCTTTTAATTGATTTATTTTCGCTTTGTCTGCGACTTTCGACAACATCTCCATTTCAATCCGGGCCCAGTAACTATTTTAATGCGCTTATATCCCAGCGACAGGCATTTTTATGCCCCATGTTATATAGTAATGATAAGCTGATTAGCGCAAGCCTCGCATAATGACATTGGCGACATTTTACAGCTGCCCCATTCTGTCCCCTCCCCCCACCCACTAAGTATATCCATTTCCACATCTACATCTTCGTCTCCAGCTCCGGCTCCCTTTCATTCCCATTCAAAATCAGATGCAGACTGGTGCCGATCCGGGCCAGGCTAAGCCAACCCCGCGGGCGGATGGCTGTCGCCCCCAGGCGAGGATGCCAATCAGGCTCTCGTTCTGATGCTTCTCGCTTTGCTTTGCATGTCAAACTACACGGCGAAAAATTATGGGGGGATAAAAAAAATTCAAAAATATTTCATATTTTACTCTCTATGGAACTTTAAATCTTAGACTGTATATACAAAGTATTCAGTGTTTAGCAATATCTATAAATCTATTGCTTTCCCAGGAAGTTGTTAAATTTATAAATATAAAACCATTAAAAAAAAATTTTTTTTTAATAAAACAAGTTATACAACTTTTTTTATGAGGTTCTTAATATAATAATTATGTTACAGTTAAAAAAAAAGTATTTTTTAAATATGCAATATTTTGAATTGTGTTCTTTAACTTACAAAGCACTGACCACATTTAAAAAACTGGAATTCAAAAATTAAAAAAAAATATTTTATATACATTCTTCATTTATTTACTCAAATTTTTAATAGAATTTTATTAAAGCAAAGTATTAAACAAAATAAAAATGAACCGAAAAGTGTAGAACGTTTACGGAAAATATTATTTTGTCAAAAAACAGTTTGAGTTTAAATGTGGGATAAGTATTTTAACAATAATAAATATATAAAATGTAAATCCCTTTTTGGCTCCGATTTCTTTGAGTGCAGTGGCAGGACTTAGTGGAGCGGAGCGGAGGAGCAGGAACAATGGAGGCGAACGCTTGACTGAGCCATTGGCCTCCCGCCTGGCTGACTGCTGTCGCTCGGCGAGTCCCTCTGCCCCCGCCCCGACCTCTGACCTCTGCCCACCGGCCACTGTCCTCTCCCCAAGGCCCACTGCCCCCTGGCCCACTGGCTGTTGTCCTGGCAGCCCTTTGCCCATTTGCTCTTTGCTGGTTGTTGCTGGTGTCGCTGGCATTGACGGCGCATTAACTCATTTCCTGCATCATTAAGGGGCACCTGCAATTTTCGCACATTTACGCCACAGACGTGTCCAGGACGTAGGCAGCTCCCCGCTCCCCCTTAATCAATTTAGCTGCAGGACTCCACTTAAATACGCTTTGAATGACAGAGGAGCTGGGATTGATATCGGGGAATTTTTAGAGGAGATTTATCAGCCAGGATGTGCACCCAAAATATGGAATTAGGATGTGATGGAATTTTAGTTTTAAGTTTTAGGAGTCTACTTAATTTTATTTCCCATGTATACCCACTTTCTAATACAAAGTAATCTTTAATGTTAAAATTATTAAAAAATTATAAAAATATTACTCATCCGACAAGTTGACTATATGAGTATATTTAAAAAGGTATTCGCAATTAATTTTAGAATGGCATGAGTCAATGGATATTTATTTTTTTTATGTAACAAATAGTGTCTTTCAATTGAAAACATTTTCTTTTAAAGAATAGAAAAATGTCATTGACTCCAAAATTTATACAATTCCGGGTTAATACTTTTTTGAGCGTATAGATACAAAAAAATACCAAGAGTAAAAACTATTCTCTGTAGAGTTTCCGGAGCCATTGTGCACACTACACACAAAAAGTGTAGTTATCAAAAGCGTTTAATAAACTTGGCCAAGCCGAAGGCCCCCGGGCGTTTCGAGCTCACATTGAGAAAGTTTTGAACCACTCGATACAAACACATGTTCACACATAAATCATACCCCCCTTATTTGATGACCCACTTTAGCACCGCTTATCCATTGTCTGGCAATATCTAATATACGTATATTATCCACTCCGCAGGCAGCACAGCGAATCCGGATGCCAAACGATTGTACGACGATTTGCTGAGCAACTACAACAAACTGGTCCGCCCGGTGGTCAATGTGACGGACGCCCTCACCGTTCGCATCAAGCTGAAGCTGTCCCAACTGATCGATGTCAATCTGAAGAACCAGATCATGACCACCAACCTGTGGGTGGAGCAGTCCTGGTACGACTACAAGCTCAAGTGGGAGCCCAAGGAGTACGGCGGCGTAGAGATGCTCCACGTGCCCTCCGATCACATTTGGCGTCCGGACATCGTCCTCTACAACAAGTGAGTTCAGATGGTGTACCTATGCATATATGGGGTATTCGAGTATTGTAGCTTTAAAAAGATCTAAATGTTTTATGGCAAATGGGATTGTATATTCCATGGGGCATAATTTTAAGGGTATATTTTAAATATAATGATACTTATGCCTTTATAGCATTCTCAGGGTTTTTCCAGGGTTATTTTTATTTTTCTAATGGGGATTCCCATTTTTCTCAAGAATTCGCGGTCTTCATTTATTCATAAATTATTCTAAGTCTCTTTATAATCCATAGAACCCATAAATTATGTCAGGTGGTACATTTAAGTTCTTTTCTAAAGAATTCGCGGTTACATTTTTTTGGGGGATTGTATAAAAAGTATGGAAATATAAAGGAAATGAATTTAACATATAATATTACTTGGTCTTAAATTCTTTAATATAAGGATCTCAAGTCTAGTAATTGAAGTTTTTTTACAAAATTGATGGTGTATGCTAGTTAGTTTGCCTTTTATTATCCTTTAAATCGTTTTCTTTGTGAAATAGCTTATTATATAACATCCTGATGAACTTTCCAGCGCCGACGGCAACTTTGAGGTGACCTTGGCCACCAAGGCCACGCTGAATTACACGGGACGCGTCGAGTGGCGACCGCCGGCCATTTACAAGAGCTCCTGCGAGATCGACGTGGAGTACTTTCCCTTCGACGAGCAGACCTGCGTGATGAAGTTCGGCAGCTGGACCTACGACGGCTTTCAGGTGGGTTAAAACTCTAAAGAAAGAAAGTAGAAAGGGTTTACTCACAATCAAATGAGTAGAAATAAGGGTGAAGCCAAGAGTACATTATTTCTAGATACTAAATTACCTAAAATAGACATAAAATCCCATGTCCTTGGCAAATCCATTTCGTTTTCAAGAGCCAAAAACAATGGAATTGCCGGCAAACAAGATTTCAATTTCCCATTTGGAAGCAAATCTTTGATGTCCCTTTTATGTGGACCGCAAATTTGGCTGGGGGCTCCTTGAGAGATCCTTTCGCATCCCCCAGCATACCCACACGTGATCCAATTTAAACCACACAAATGAAAGTTTCTCGGCCGTCTGGCCGCCTGGCCTTTGGCTAATTGGTTTATAAATCTGTGGCAAGTGTTCGAGTCGGAGCAGCAAATATATCAGCTAGATAGGTCTGTGCATATGTATGTATATAGTATGTTGCCATTAAAGGACCAAAAGCTCCTTATCTCATACCCATTTCCCATACTCCCATACCCATTCCCTGGTGACTATCTCATTTACACATTTACAAATTGCTCACCTGGCGCTCCTTTTTCGGGTGTCTCTGAGCCCGGTTTAGTGGTCATAAACCGAAATACGGTCATAATTCCTTTTTGGAATACTGGCCTGGAATTTCTCACGTTTTATGGCCACAAAACACAGGGCAACAAAGAAGGAGACGGCAGGCAAATGGGTTTGGAATAGACAGGCCGACAGACAGACAGTCAGACAGACAGTCGACCGCAGGGAGGCTTCATAAAAACGTCTCCAGTGGTTTTGGCCATCGGGTTGAGGTGGACCATGGAGCAGGGTGGACCAGCAGGAATTGGGAAACTGGGGAACTGGGAAACCAGAATTCAGAGCACAGGACACTAAGCCAGCTTGACACCTGCCCGGCAAATGTCGGCGACTAGCGGTCGGAGGCCGCGTAACCTCGTAAAATTCCCTGCACCACACAAAAATGCAACTCAAGGCAGGGATACACTCGAAAAAATGCTCAACAAGGAGATTAAAAATTATTCTGAAAATTCAAAAAACATATAAAATAGTACATGTAATTTTCAACAATTATATTTGCTCTTTTGATATCAGTCAGTAATAACCGAATAAAGACTTTTATTTTGTGAGCTATATAATTTTGTAAGAAAATACAACAAAAAAGGAAGTGACATATAAAATAATATCATTTAAGCAATCTTAAATATATCCTAAAGTGCAAATATTCAAATTTTAAATCTTTTTTTAAATAAACAATAACGATAAATCTCTATTTACAAGATAGTTATTTTAATTTTAGTGCTTAAGTGGTATATTTAAAAGTATTTTAAAATAAAATATACTTATTTGAGTTAGGATATAATCAAATAAATGCAATGAAAATTTAAAAAAAATTTTAAGACAAGCAAATTAGTAATTTAATATATTTTTTCTAAGTGCAATAGATAGGAATGGCTGGAGAATCTCGATGGATGCTCTGTGGCTTCGTTCTGCGGTTGGGAGCTTGCCAGCTAATAATGAACCGGCATTAGGCGGGGATCTAAGTCAGCTTGCAGCATTCGGTGCCCCGTCCGCTTAACCCTCCATTCAGGCGGAACTGGCAAAATAGGCACAGACGGGTTAACCACATGCATCTACTGAGCTGCATTACCCAGGCCATAAAATCGCGCTCGAGTTGGAAAAGTGTTCGGTTTTCGATGGCGGTAGAAAGCCAAAAATGGTTTGAGGTTTTTCACAGGATTTCTTACAGCATTTCAAGCTTTCTTAGCTTAGCTAACAGTTGCTAAAGAACACAATACTTTACCAAACAGTAACAAAACGAAATTGGAAGATACATCTTACAATATTCAATTACAATTTACAAATTGAGTTTTGCAACTACTGCTTTATTAAAGATACAATATTGCAGCACTGAGAAAGTTACAATTGAATCTATAAATAAATTCCGAATATCGAGTTTACCAAACAGAAGCCAAATGATGATTAACTCAATTTCAGGCTTATTAAACACATTGGCCATCTAATATCAAATTAAGCGCCTTATAACTTTGTGTGAATAATGTATTAACTTGGCCACCCACTCCGCCCACAGCCGATGGATATTATATTGCAAAATGCGGACAATTTAATGGCGAATATAAAGGCCTATTTAAAGGCGAAATTACCCCGGGGGGAATTGTGGGGGGAATTTGTGTATTTTGTTTCAATCACTCAATTAGCAGAGCTGATAAAATATCTCCATCTGTCTTTATCTTGACTTGCTGCCTTAGTTTAATTGTCGAGACAATTAGCAAAATGTAGGCACTTTCTTCTGTATGTGTGTGTGTGTAAGCCATCTCTTTCTGGCCCACACATATGCATTTACACCTGCTCACACAGACGGCTGACTAATTTGCTAAAAAGCTAAATGCTCATTTACTATTAAAAAGGCAAGGCGCTAACAAGCATTTGACACGACACGAAATGAGGGGCGGTGAAAAGAAAGGTGAGGGGGAATGGCATTGTCTCAAATGTTACATGCACTGAAAGAAATGAGTGCCTAAATGAAAATTATTATAAGGTATATGCTTTAAAAGTGTAATAAAATCGAGGGATAGCTAAAAACAAATGCTACTATGTATACCCTCGTGATATCGTTTATTATTAAAATATATTTGGTATTTCTAATATTACTATTAATATTCCATTATGAATTTACCCACTTACTTTCTTTTATTATAATAATATTTTATATATTTTCATTATATATTATTTTATGCTTCTAATATCATAAAAATTACTTTTTAAAGATAAATGTAGTCATCAGAATATCTTGAAATGCTTTAAATTTTAAAAGGAATATTATTATTTTTCTTTACATATTTATATTATACCAAATAAAATGTAATATTCTAATATTTAAACATTTTTTATTTGCTGATAAATTTCATCTAAGTGTCAGCATATTTTGTGGCATAAATTGTAGCATGTTGTGTTCAACTTCACGCATAAATCAACCTCAAAATGAGCGATATCCTACATAGTAGCAGCAAATTATTTATGAAGTCTTCGAAGGGAATGGAATGGAATAGCGTTTTCATTCGCAGTTTCTCGTTTCTCATTTCTCGTTTCTAGTTCTACGTGGCATCAGTCTCCTCGACAGCGGAAGTATTTCATTAAATCATCACTTCCTTATACTGAAATTTCCGCAACCACTTAAAATAACAATTTCCGCATCGGCAATTCCAGCAGCCAGGAATCCATTGCACCTGCCGAGCTCCTTGGGAGGCCGCATCCTGTCTGATTATTTTCCCTTTCGGCCAACTTGCGCCACAGCTGCATCTTCGCAGCCTGTTTTTCATTCATGTTCAGCCAGCGTCGATTTCCTAATTTCGTGTCAATGAGCCAAACTTGAGGGGAAAATCGCTGGGGAAAAGGGCTAAAATGGGGAAAATTGTGAAGTCTGTGTGGCGCCGAACAAAAGGCAAGGGCAAGTTCATAGGCTCAATTTTCACACTTGATTTTGCACAGGATACGCCCACACACAGTTTCCAACAATCTGTTATAAAAAAGCGGTTATAAAGTGGATGGGACACTTGTCAAACTTGGGAAAGGATTTCATAATTTTCTTAAGTGAAATGAACCCATCTTTGTTATTTTCCATCGTGTTCAAGTGTTTAAATTTAAAAAAAAGATTTATATTTTCCTTAATATTTACATTTAAAAATGTATATTTTCCTATTTTAGTAAATTTGTATTTTAAATTATTAAAAAGGAATAACTAAATACATATATATTTTTTTTATTGGTTTTTCCTTGCCTAAACAACATATTTTTAAAGGAAGTAGTTTTGAAAAGGTTAAAAAAGGTAACATAATACGGTTTTTATGCGGTCTATAATTTATAGAGCTTTTTCTGCTCAATAGGGGTTATTTTTCCAAGTGCATATTGCCAGAAGGGCAGAGTTTAGCAAAAATAGAAAGTGAGCATGGAAACGAGAAATCGTATTAACGTCACTTTTCAAATTTCACGCTTTTCCACCGCCCACCACCCATCGCCCAACAATGTCAACTGGCACCTGCAGCAGCCTCCTTTTCAATCCCCACCCCCTTCAACCTTTAGCCCCCCGCCCCTGGGAAACCATGGAAAATCGTTGAGGCGTAAATTGGCAGACAAAATGCTTTAGGAAATTCAGTCGAAGAAAGGAAGGAATTAAAAATTGCTGATGGGATGAATGCACTTCCGGGTTAATATTCAAACAGCTAGTGCACACAGAAAAGCTGAGCCAGCTGGGCAAAAACTAGATAATGCAGTTGTGGAAAAGCTTTATTTGCGACATGGGCAAAAGAACAAGGAAAAATGGAAATTGAATTTGGGAAAAGTAGACTTAAGAGGACCACACGAATTTTCCAATTTTTCAAAGGACTTCAAAATACATAACAATTAAGAAATGAAATATTTTTAGCTTAAATCTTATCAATAACTAAAAAAACAAGACATCAAGGAATTAAAAATGTCTTAAAAAATATCACCATTAAAAATATACATTTTTAATCAATATTTTTCCCATCAACATATATCAGTTAAGTGGCCATAACTTGGGGCCCCAAATTCTTGCCTTCGATCTGCAAAGTGAAAATGTTGCCAGAAAATCCACTCGAAAGCCAAGAATCAGGTTCGATAGAGTGTTGCCGTTGCATGTCAAATACTTTATCCGGAACTGTTCGACCCCGGACTTTCGAAGGGGTGCCGAGGAGAAGGAATGCTGTCCATACACCTTCCTGTGGGCCAGGTGGTGTCCTGTCGATGTCCATGTCCTGTCAGCTGCACTCGTGCCGAACTAAGCAAAACTGAGCACTGGAATTGAAGTGCGGCCTTCGCATGTTTGTCCATTTCGGTATCGATGCAGCCGGCATTCCATTCCATTCCTCCACCTGGCCATCTGAAAACCTGAAAAACTGAAAACCCAACCTCCTGGCCACCCGCTCTGCTCCAGAGAACTCTTGGATTCGGATCCTTCGCCTCTGGACGGCAACAAGGATCCCAGTTTCGAGGAAGCTGGCGGAGCTGCCAGTGAGTTTGACAGTCAAATCGGAATGGCAGACGTGTCAGGACAGAATGGGATGGGATGGTATGGTATAAGATGGGATAGGATGGGATGTGTATAAGGTGGGGCCGGGATGAAATGCAGCCGAGGGCAGAAACATAGACATCTGGCAGGGAGTGCAGTCCAATTATGTTCGCTGTCAGCGCAACGCAGTATTTGTCTAATCACTTGGCAACTGGAAGAAAACTAAGGTTGAGTATTATCTGTAACCAGATGTTGGTTACTTTTTCATACCGGAATTCGATTTTAGTGAGATATACTTCTTTACCTACCCCAATGTTTCATATTAATGTAAGATTATGTAATTTGCCTAAAAAACAGTTACAAAACTATTTGATTTGTTTCAAAATGATTTGATTCAACATTCGATTTAATTATTCAATGATTCGACTCTATGACTTGACTCTATAATTCGAATCTATAATTCGACTCTATGATTCGAATCTATGATTCGACTCCATGATTGGATTCTATGATTAGACTCAATGATTCGACTCTATGGTTCGATTCTATGATTCTACTCTACGATTCTAATGTAAGAATCGACTCTATGATTCGACCTATGACTCGACTCTATGATTCGATTCTATGACCTATGATTCGAATCAATGATTCGACTCTATGATTCCACTCTATGATTCAACTCTATGATTAGATGCTATGATTCGATTCATTTTTGTTTTTCCCCCCTACAACAAAATTTTGGATCCGCCACTACTTTAGGAGTTCCATGTATCTCAGTGTACAAATATCTGTAAACTAACCATTTTGCATCCACTTTCAGGTGGATCTGCGGCACATTGACGAGCTGAACGGCACCAATGTCGTGGAGGTGGGCGTGGATCTGTCCGAGTTCTACACGTCCGTCGAATGGGATATCCTCGAAGTTCCTGCAGTGCGGTAAGTGCCAGCGAGCCACCCAATTGAAAACCACCCAGCCGGTGGAACCACCCACCGACAAAAGGCGGCAACAACAATTATTTTTGGCAGAAACTCCTTTGGCAAGTTCCTTGGTAGCTTTGGACGCTGTCACAAAACACAAACACAAATCTTTCAGGATGTCAGAACGCACACACACACACACACACGCAGGTCAAGGATGCAAGTGAGAGAGATGGATATATGCTGGTAGAAAGAGAGGGTCTGACCTGAGTTGTCGATGCTGATGATGATCTTCGGGCATGGGCGTGGGCGTGGTCCTTATTTACACTTTACACCCTTTTTTCCACCCCCCTCCCAATATTTTCCCTTGAAGTTTTTAAATTAAAAAACTTTGCCAAAAGCAACTGCCAAAGGAATGAAAAATAAAAAACAACACAAAATTATACATATAAATAAATAGGAAGGTCTTGCTTCTTATGTTTCTTCCTTTTGCCCATCTGGTCAGGCATATGTGTGCCTACAGCAGCGGTCAGAAAAATAAAGTTTTAGAAAAGATACCTATTGAAAAATAACCAATTAGATTAACCACATTTTTACAGAACTAATTTATTTTTTAGTAGATTAAAACAAACGAAAGCTTACAATAAAGGCTAATATTTTTAGACCGATTTATTGATTTTGTTTGTTTTTATTGTAAAATAAATTTAAAATACTAAAAGAATTCGATTGTTGCTCTATTTTAATCAAGTTCTTATGTGATTTTTAAATGACCTATTGTTTTGCCCCCAATTGTCGACTGATGTGCGACTTTCGCTCTGCGAGAGAAAGTGAAAGCTGAATTTGTTTCCTTTTCTTGGGCGGAGGCGCTTGTTAATTGCCACGCCCCCTTTTGTGGAACGAGTGGGATGGCACGCTTGTGTGCACACCATTTTGAGCGAGCGAGAGGTGCTATATGGGGGGCTTTGGTGGGAAGTTCCTCTAGCAGAACCCCGTCTTTAATGCATTAAGCCCCAGACAAAAGGCAACAAGAAATTTTTGTTTCACTTAGCGCAACTTTGTTTGGAATCTTGGGATTGTTGGAAGCCGGCAGGTGAGTTTGTGGGCGGTCATGGGTTAAAAGGGGTCTATGGAGGAGCTGGGGCTGCTGTGAAAAAGGAGTGTTAAGAACGGGGTGGCAATACTGTTGAGTGCTATTAATTAGTTGATGACACGTGCTAGATGAACTGAGAAAATTCAGTTTGAAAATACTTTTCATTAGGCTAATTTGGTTGCTCAAATTGCTTGGATTTTTACTTTGATCTTGCTTTCTTTTGTCTCAAAATGGTATATATTTTTCAGTACATTGATCTAGCCTTTCCTTTTTTTGTTATAAATGATTTTATTGCTTTCTACGAAGTACAATTTTATTAACAATCTCGAATATTTTTTAGGGTATTTTGTCTATAAACTCTAACCTTTTCTTACAAATAACTCTTTGTTTCAACACTTTTTGTTGCAATTGTAGTTCTACTTTATTGCCCGAAACTCAAAGGTAGCCAAAGTTAAATAAGTTGATTTTCCTCTTAGTTTTAGTAGCAAGCTGTATGCTTTTATTTATATTTTTTCCTTGGCATTTACTGTACCTATTTTTTTGTTGTCATTGGCACGCGTGGAAGCCACAAACAAGTCGCGACTCCCGTCTCCAAAAGTCATTTTATTTTTATATGAGTATTACGAGCCAGGGGATAAATGGGTGGATTTTTTTCGATGGGTTTTTTCGTAGGATGGTGGCGGTGAGGTGGAAAAGCGTGGAGATTTGTCCGTGAATTTCATGAAAGTGTTGTTTATGTATCCCCACCAAAATGGAGGACAAAAAGCCGTAAACTCTTCAGGTGTATGTGTGTTAGATGGGCGGAAAAAGGGGGCGGTGGGGTCGGTGGAAGTGAAAGGGAAAAGAGAAAGTAAAATGGCTGCAGGGCAATAATTTCCTTGAACTATTTTGAAGTTGCGTGTGGGGCAAGAAATGGTCAATAAATCAGTGGCAAGAGTTTGGTTTCTTTTTTTTACTTTTTCCCATTTCGCTAACTTATTTACCTGCTCTTAAAATTTTTTCTATACCCTTATATCAATTAATATATTAATACGTAATACATTTATATAATATACAAAAATGTTTGCCCACTTAGAAAACAATGCGCAAACAAAGAATTTATTTCAAAAACACTTCAGTTTTGATGGCACCTATGAATGTTTCAAGTGGTTATAACTCGAACAGCTTAATTCGTTTGCCCTTTGACCTTCTGCCCCGCCCACTGAATGAACCCCCCAACACACCCACCATATTTCATAAGCGGCACGTGACAGACGGAAATGACAAGGCTCAACTACAGTGCGCAGTAAATAAATAAAACAAAGCTGGAAAAAATATATATATGAAGTCATTGAAGTCGAGAATACCCTAGAAGGCAAAGTAAACTCATTTTGTTGAAAAGTATAATCAATATAATATACTCTAATAATTAGGGGTTTGAAAACACTTTTAAATGTTATTTAGAGTGCCTAAAAGTATGCAACAGTAAAATAGAAACTCAGAAATACTATGAATTCATTCAGATAGACAAGCATCCTTTATTCACTGCATACTTTAAGACACATTCAATAAACAATCCTTAAGATTTACCCATTTTCTAAGAAAAACACCCTTAAATGATAGAAAACTAAATCGCCTGATTTTTTTTTTGTGCATGACAAAGTTGTTGGCCGAGTTATAATACCCTAAAGCCAGGGTATCAACGGCATGTTAAGACCTTTTGCCAACTGCGAGCTGAAACCACTGAAAACGGGGCTCAAGTCATTGACGGGAATTAAAAAGTTGACAGCGCCAGTTACGTGTGTGTGTAACAAATATGAGAGTGTGTGTGTGCTGCCTATGTGTGTGTGTGTGTGTTGAAGTGCATGAGTGTGAGTGTTCGTTGGTTTATTTGGCGTGGCATTGGCAGTAAATTATGCCACAAGTGCGTGACACACTCACAAAAGAGGCCGCCGGCTGTGAGTCTCTAAACCTTCCAACCACCGCCCACCACCCACACGCCCACCATTTTCGCCACCTAACCATCGTCCTTCCAAACCCCCAAAGTCCCCTAAAATCCCCGAACACCACCAGCCCCCCTCCCTGGAAAAGCCCCTTCTGACTTACTCCCTTGGCAGCTTTTATTGTCTGCAGGCTGCTGCTTCTGCTTTTGCTGCTGCTGCGCCTAAAATGCTGCAACACAATTCACAGCACGTAGAGCAATTTTCCCATGAAGCCGAGTCCTCTGGCCGCCGCGCTCCTTTTCCAAAAACTTGTGCCAGAGCCTCCGACAGGATTCAGTTTTAATGCGCATCGACAGTTAAATTAACTGAGGGCGGGAGGGGCTCAGAAAGGGGCGTGGCAAGCCGCAGCACGTACAGGTGGGAAAATAGGGTGTTCGGGGGGGGGGGGGGGGGGGCTTAGCCATACATATAAGCGAAAGAGACAGCGGCAGACAATCAGGCATTGATTGACAGGCGGACAGGTGGGCAGCAGCAGCAGCAGCAGCAGTTGGCCAGAGCTAAGTTGGCCAGGGCTGAGACAAAGGGGCCAAATCGAAAGTCGGGCCAATCACGAACCCATAAAATTAAGCCTGCTTATTCCCGTCCAAAACCCTTTTCTTCCGATCCGATGGGAAACATAATGTCAGTGCGCCGGGCTGGCAATTTGCAGTTTATAGTTTTCGCCTGGGAAAGTGCCGTGAAAGGCTGGATAATATAAATTGGTGGAGTTCTTCAGAAACAAAGAAGAAAGTCTCTAATGGGTTTTTAGATTGCCTACAGGTACTCGTTATTAAATCTTCTTTTTAATCATTCAATTTATCTTGCATTTTGTATTGTTTTACTAAGTCTTTTTTGGGTTCCTGTCATTTTCTATTCATATTTGCTAGTATTTACTTGTCACCTTTTCGTGTTTTAAATCAAATAATCATTTAGATTCATTTTTTATAACCATGCTTTAATATCCTCTATATTTAATACCTTTCATACAACTTCTTAACATTAAAGTCGCGAAGCTCCTTTCCAATAAATAATAATATTTTAAAATACTTTATAATTTAATCTTTGATAGAACTATATATTTTCCAATATTATATAATTTGTGTTTTTTTTTTTCTGCTATCATTTAGGTTTTTTGAGTCTCAAAACCTTGTGTATTATTTTATTACCACACTTTAAGATGCTTTTCATCTGATACCTTCCAATTAACTCTTTGCCATTAAAGCCTGTAAGCTCCTTTCTAATAAACTGTCTGTTTGCACGATTTCTTTGACTTTGCCTTCATCTTTTTGTATCCGCCTATTGAGTTGTCTTTCCTTGTCGTGCTCTCACTGCCATTTCCCATTTCCATTCCCCCGGGGGCTGTATTTTGTTTAATTGCCGCAATGGGTCTTACAACATCAAATCAACACGCCGGGCACATACACCACGAAAGCCCAGCCACTCTCTTGCTTTCCACCCCCCCCCTCTCTTTTCCACTTTCTTTGCCAACTTTCACCCATTCCACCTAGCCACCTTGCCACCACTGGAGCCTGATTACGAGGCACAAATTTGGGTTGTGTTTGAGGCTTTTTGCTCCCTAGACTCGTTCCGTTCCCGTTGCTTTATCACAGATCGATTAAAATCATAATTAGCAAACTTTCCAGAGAATCCTCTCTGGCTTCTTGCCTTTTCCGCTTGCGGTCACACCTCAATTGCCACGCCCACAGAGTCCTTCGCCCAGCCTGGCAGAGTCCTTCGAGTCCTTCTTTTTTCAAGTCATGCAACGAAGCGTGTTTATGTTAGTTATTAAAATTCTATTACTTACTTTGATTTCTGGTTGGCCCAAGTTCGAGTGTCTAGGAGGAATGAGAGATAGTTGCACAGAGAAAAAAATATGTAGATACATAACTGTCTTAAATGCAAAACAGAAATAAAGCTTAACGTCTCCACCTTTCTTCATAGACCCCCTTTTTTGCTAGTTGCAGTTTATAAATATTCAAAAATTTATATATTTTAGATTGAATATTTTTCAACATTTTTCAAAGTGCATAGGAAAAACCAGAATTGGAGGCATAGAAAACACTCGAAAGCTCATAGAGAACTTTTGGCTAAAAGTTGTTGAAATCAATCAAGCGTTGAGACCTATCCTCCCCCGAATTTTCCTCAGATTTTCCCCGATTTCCCAACGACTTCTAGGTGGCAATGGTAGTGCTATTCCTTCTCCTCTGCTTTCTTTATGTCTTCGTTTCTTTTTTTATGTTGCCAATCATTTCGTATTTATGCGTTTGTTCTTTGACTCCAATCAGCAAGCTGTTTCCCCTTCAATCCTCCTCGGAATTCCCCGGTGTCAATCAGCGATTTGACCATTTTCGGTCACTTTAGTGCGGTAACCCCAGCCCATACCCCAAAAAAAAACCCAGGCAAACCTCTCATTTCCCAAATACGTGCCGAGCTCTCCATTCAATTTCACTGGAATTTCACTTTTCTTTTTTTTTTTTTGACCACCCAAACGCAGAGGAGGTTGAGCCGGTTGGAAATCTAAATAACATTTGATTTAAAATCTGTTTCACTTGAAAATCATTCACCAATCGCACACACAAAGGCTGGGAATGAGGGAAAGTGGAAAATTTGTCTGGCTACTGTCGATTTTCTTTGACTTTGAGCATTTCCTATGTACTTTCACTTTGGTTGGCATCGAATGTAACAAACTTAAAATACTTTGTATAATTTTTAAGGACAATATAAGCTTCAATTTTAGTTTTAATTCGTTGGTTTAAAGCATATTTTCCTTCTCCTAAAAGAAAAGAGCTCTTAAAAGTAAAGTAAAACAACAAAATTTAAATTATTTGGTATCCTATACGTATACTTAATATTACGTATACGCCTTGTGGGCCAAATATGACAAGGATTAATATTACGCATACGCCTAGTGTGCCAATTTTTAGAATGATTAATACCTACACTTGCAATAAAAGTATGAAAACAGGGTATCAACGACTTCGACTACTTTTTTTCTGGTTTTGTACACATTTCCATTTCGGTTTCCTTATCCTTTATTACGCATACGCCGCGTGGCCCAACGCATTGATGAATTGTTGCCAATTTCGGAATTTCTGGAAGAGGGATGTGTTTGTGTAGGGGGTGGGGGGTTCCCCCTTGTGGGGGTGTGGAAATATGGGAGTGCCATGTGCCATCGAGTCAAATCAAACTGAAGTTTTGCTGGTCTTAGCTGGTATTTGTTGTTGTTCGCGTTCCGGTCTTTTCTCTATTTGGATCTTTTTTTTCTCCTTCTTCTTTTTTTTTTGCCTATGTGGCGCCATCTTCCGGCGCCGTGTGTCTGTGTGAGTGTGTGTGGAGGCACGCGTGTTCTATTACTATGTATGTGTGTGTGTGTGTTTTCTTGCCTATTTTATGATTTATTGTGTGTTTTCCCATCGTGGTTGCTAACCAAGTAACCAACTAGCCAACCGAACCCACCAAGTCACCGAGCTTATTACACTGACCTTTACACGTACTAAACCACCCACTCAACGCCACCCCCCATTTGCCAACTTAAGGGTCTTCTTTCGAAGTTTTCTGTTTTTTCTGTGCGCTTCTTTCTTTTTTTGGGGGCAAGTGTCTCTGTCAGAACTCATGTGTCTCTGTCTGCAGGGACTTATCTTTAAGAAGTGAAGTGGTGGGGGGGGGTTCAGAGTGGGTCGTAGCGGGAATTCCCCGTTTTCGGACACTCCATGGCCTGTTGACCAAAGCTCACTTCAGCAGACTTAATCTGTGGCCATATTACATTTTTCGCATTCGATCGGAGGACTTTTGGGAAGCCAAGTGAGCTGAAGGATATTGGGTATTAGGTTTTGCGCCCACTTGTGTTTTGTCCAATTTAAATGTCCTTTTAATGGACAAAGGCATTCGAATCGTTGGCTCTAGGTGTTTGCCTGATGTTTTTACATATTTTATAAATTCAATTAATTTAAATAGAGTATTTGCAATAATTTAGTCTATTATTTTTTGTTTAGTATTTTTTGTAATTCCACCGTGTACCAAAATAAAATCACACTTAGAGGAACTTTATAAGCTACATGGGTTTGCTTAAGCAATATATAGAAGTAGGATGGTGTTAGGGAGAAGTCACAATTTTGGTATTATTAAAGAACACCTCTTTAAACAATAACTTTATTAGATCTCAGTATAGTATGTTTTAGGTTTTTTTGTAGTGTGCCCATTTACCACAATAAAATCCCATTTGAAGGAATTGTATAAGCTACATGGATTTGTTTAAGCAACATTTAAATGTAGAATAGTGTCAAAAAGAAGTGACAAATTCGGTATCATTTATAAGCACCCCTTTAAAAAATAATTGTACTATATCTTTTTATAGTATTTTGTAGTATTTTTTCGTTTTTCCCATTAAACACAATAAAAGGAATTTTATAAGCTACACGATTTAGATATTTAGATATTTGTTTAGATGTAGAATAGTGTTAGGAAGTAGTTCTAATTTATGAGCACTCCTTTAAACAATAACTTTATTATAACTGCTATCTTATTTCCCCCCTTTTCTCCCCCTCCTTTTGATCCCTTTCGAGTGACTGACACTTGGAATTGCCTTGGCAAATTATATTTTATTGCTGCAGCCATCAAAACTAACCCACAAGATGTTGGCCTTCAATCCCGGAATCCCTGGCCCACACACACACACACATCCTCGATCCTTCTGACATTCTGTGTGCCTATTGCCACATACTTCATTTCTATTTGGAGGGAAGTCAACTGCCACAAACAGTTAGTTGCCCGCCGGCCACATCCTTGTCGTTATTGTTGTCCTTGTCGTTGTCGTTGTCGCTGTTGGTATTGGTGTCCTTCCCCCCGGCTCGCCGCCATTTCCCACGCTTTATCCCTGCTCCTTGCCATGTTTATTATTTATTTACAATATTTTCTTATTCAAAATGAAGCCGCAAGCCTCTCGGAATTATTGATGGCCCGGCAATATACCACAGCGAAATGTTGAGAGGGGGGGGTTACCCCTTTTTTTTGCCCGTCAGTAACATTTTTTTTATTTTCGTGTCCTTCCACTGGCAGCTTCTGTTCCAAGAGTTTTTCAAGTGAGTCGAGGGCGGAAAAAAAAACACAACCAAAAGTCCACTCGACTCAATTTACAAAATTTTCTTTCTTTTTCTTCATTACTTTTTTATATTCTTCTGGTTTTTTTTTTTTAGAGGCAGCCGTAGTCAGAGATTATTAACTTTTAAATTATGCATTGGTCCCAAAGAAGGAAAAGGGGCAAAAATATAAGAAAAGCTCAAAGACTGAATTACTGTCGAACTGATTAACGCAAATGGATTAAAGTTTCAAAGGGTTAGTTCAAGGAAAAACTTTTTCAGTGGATTGGTTTAAAAAAAAAAAAAATTGGTTCCTATAACTTTGAAATGTTTCACTCATATTTTAACAATCTAAAAAATATTGACTGAATTGTATAAACCTGAAAATGTATTTACTAGCCACCTTTAACTTTAAATAATAATTGTTAATGCCGGCAGCATTTTATCACTGAAACTACACTTAACTTCGTGTATCTCACAAATATTTTCCGCATATTTAAGAGTGTTCAAGTCACTCTCTGTCGATTCGCAGCTACGCAAAAATACACAGAACCATTTTGACACTCAGTTAGCAGTTAGGCCAATATTTTTTCAGCATTTTACAATATTTATCATGCGGCCGATGATTTATGTGATTGGAGAGCCATATATCTGCGGATATATGTGTGTTTATGTAAATAAATATAGGTTTTGGGTGCCACACACTGCGGATGCTGCAGCGGCAGCACCACAAAACAAAAAAAAAAGAAAGAATACCATCCAAATAAATATCCCCAGCCTGAATGAACCTTAATAAATATTTACGCGCTGCGTAACAATTTGCCTAGCTCATACTCCATTTGCCGCCGTTTTAATTTATTCGCAGGAACGAGAAGTTCTATACGTGCTGCGATGAGCCATATCTGGACATCACCTTCAACATCACGATGCGCCGCAAGACCCTTTTCTACACGGTCAACCTGATCATCCCCTGCATGGGCATCAGCTTCCTCACCATACTCGTGTTCTACCTGCCATCGGATAGTGGCGAAAAGGTGAGTCCGGGGGTATCCAAAGGTCGGGAGAAATATCTGAGGTCGGGAATTGAACCACTGACTTTATTATTCCCAACTGTTTCCTTGGCGGGATTATATTTGAGAAAGATATACAGTTTTTCTGGGATACCTATGTTTAAGAACCCATCTTTTATATAAACTATATATTTGAGGCCTTATAATTCCCTACTCCTTTTTCTGGACTAACAAATTTTAGCCCTTTAATAATCTTAAAATAATAAAGAGAAGTTCCTAAAGTTTAAAGAAAACATATAATACCAACTCTAAATCCTTTTACACAAATGTAATATTTTTTGCCTTATAATTCCCAACTCCTTTTTCTGGCCTTACCAAAAAATGTAGACTCTTGAGATTTATATATTATTTCAAACAAATCCCAACCTTTTCTTCGGATAATCCTTAAAGTATAGAGAGACAGTTCAAAAGTTTTAAGAAGATATTATTTAACTGAAACCAGCTCTAAATCCATTTGTTGGCCTTATAATTCCCAACTCTTTTTTCTGGAGCAACAAAAAATTCCACTCTCTTGAGATTTATGTATTATTTCAAACGTACCCCAATCTTTACGTCGGATAATCTTGAATTAATAAAGAGACCATCTCAAAGTTGTAAGAAATTATACCCTTCCATTCAAGTTCTTTAAAATCTGATTTTAAAAGCAATCATAAATCCTAATGTGTTGTAATGTATGATATATTAACACACAATTAGAAATGTAGAAAAAATAGCTAATTGGAATTTAACAAAACAATAGAACTCTTTTCCATTTATTTGCTATAGTTTTTATTGCGCATTGCGATTGATAAACGGGTTCAATTAATGAGCTAAAGTTTAATTAAATCAGTCGCAATTGTTGCGGCCCGGCCGTCTAAAAGCTTTATCTTCCGCCAATGGATTTATGCTAATGATACACATGTTATTGCATTTATTCATAGTGAAATTAACCATTAGAATCAAGTTCATCCGCAGCTGAAATGCATTAGCTTGAATATAGCATTTACCATTTTTGTACACATCTGCTGCCATTTTCCCCGCGCTTTTCACCATGCTGATTTTTTTGCATTAAACCAATTGCCATAATTTATTATCAGCTCAGCCCCGCGACCATCCGCTCAAAATGTGCTTTTAATTAAAAAGCAAAGAAAAAAAAAAAGAATAATAATTTCACACTCAAATGAAAATGAAAATGCATTTTAACATTTTATTCGTTTTGATTTCAATTTTTTTTCCATTTTCGGGTGTTCTGTTTGCTTTTTGTTTTGTGTGAGTGTGTGTGTGTGGATGATGTTTTGTATGGGTCTTTTTTTCGACCAGTTTGCCATCATTTAAGTTTGAGTAAATAAAATTACACGATGTATTCAATTTAATGCGAACAAAAGGCCGGCGCATTTTTTTGCGGTTCTTTGGCGATTCTTTTGAGGGAAAAGGCCAAACGAAAATGAAAACACGAAATGGCATAATGCATAAATATAAACATTTACATGCTGCCTGGGACTTATGAATAAATTACGGCCAATTTTCAAAATAAATAAAATGCAAAAATAATTTGTGTGCGCAAGCGGTTTGTGGATTACTGATGCCGATGCTGATGTTGATGCCATCCGACATTTCCACATCGCTCACGGAGCATAATTTATGTTATAAATATTGACAGCGCCGGGCATTTGATGGGCCATCCCAGCAGGCATTATGTAAATTCCCGATTCGCGTGTGCATTATCGAGTTAAGAGCGACCGATTCGACGAGTACTCATCGAATAATACACGTATTAAAACGAGCTGTCACGTGAAAACGACGTATTTCAACGATATATTTCAGTTGGTAGTTATCTAAACCGTTTTAATTGCTGTCGGTTTAGTTGAAAGAGTATAGATGCGAAATAATTAACGGGTAAAAATATCTTTAAATTCTGGAATAGGTACTACAATTTGTTTAAAGTTGGTAATGTTAGGTATCAGAAAAAATATAGAACTGTCACAAATTGATTATTTTTTATAAGTTTAAGGAAAGGTTAATAAATATTTAAGCCTAGGTAAAATATTTATATTAAAAAACAAAAGAAAAACAATTTGTATACTTAAAAAAGTACTGAAAAAAAGAATAGATGTCAAAATAGATGTGAAAAATCAAGAACAACTTATTCTTAAAAAAAATGAAGGTGCAGATTTCATTAAAATTGATTTATAACAGAGTTATTTTGCTTAAATCTTAAAAAAATAATAGATTTGTCTAGGGAAAAGGCCAAAAAAAATATTGAGAAGCTGTGTATAATTTTTTATACAATAACGTAAACTATTTATTTACCTAGTATTCGTCGGCTTGAATTTCCATCAATACTTAAGCAATTAAGTTTCCACCTGCATATACCAATATTTATTTTCTAGAACCTAAACTTTCCTGGTTCAATAAAAATAATCAATTCAAGCGTTATTATTTTGCCAGGAGATTTCCCGCTCTTTTTGGGATTTTGCCATGCTTTTTTTTTGTTTATTCTTGTTTGACTTTTACGATTTGTGCCGAGTGGGCACATTTCATTGCACTGTTGTCCCTTTTATGGCCATGCACGCACACTCACCCGGACACACACTCATACACTTAAACACTGACACACGGAACTGGCAAATATTTACGCCTAAAAGCAGGCAGCGAAATAAAACAGGACACAAACTGCGGAACTGCGGAACTGCGAACTGCGCCCGAAATTCCCGCCACTGGCCAGTCTGCAGTTAACTGTGGCAACTCTGGCACGTCCATCCCCATCCTTTGGTCCTGTTGGTCCTTTTGGTCCTTTTGGAACCCCGTGGCCGAAGTTCCAGCCCCGCGATGGCATCGGAATTGGAATTGGAATTGCCAATTTACATGCATATGCGCCACAACGCACTTCATTCATGCAATTGCCGATTGCGGCAGTGTGGAAAGGAGGTGGTCAAAAACGGTTGACGCACACTCGCAAAAAATACTCCCGCCCCTTCGATTATCAATCGGGATTGGTTTTATTTACCCAGATTTAATTTATAAGTCAAACGTAGCAAAAACAGAGCAAAAAGGTACAAAATAAAGCGGAAATAGTACTCAGTGATATAAAACAGAACCGATAAAGCTTAATCTCTATATGGTTTATAGATAGATTATTATATTCCGATAAATATCAACATATTAACAGATTAATTTGTAAAAGTATAGATAAGAACTAAATGCACTCTTCTTCATTTTCAAGAGCTTTTAAATATTTAAAAAAAAATTCTACTAATATTATTTCCCATCAAATAGTTTCAATAAAATTATATTTAATTAAAAAAGACATTACACCATTTGTATGCATAGGTTTATAAGCTATTTAGAGGTTTTAGTAGCATTTATTTTTATGGTCAACACTTTTTTTCTGTGCAGGAAACGAAGGGCTACTTTTCCAATACTAAGTAGCCGCACTGTTCCCAATTTCGCTCCGTTTATTTGCATCGTATTTTTATGGACGAAACAATTACGTTTTACGAACAGAGTCCAGATTGAAACTGGCCCATCAGTTGGTATAACCGAACACTCCAGTTCGGATCGAACCCAACCCAGCAGAACCGAAATCGTAACCGAAATGCATTAGGCCACCTTAATTACACCGAGCATTTGCATAAATAATGAGCAGGTCGCCAGTGATGGCAGCGTGAGGCGATTGCCTATGGATTCCCCAATATTCGCCAATTGTAGCATCTCTAACACTTCCAGCCAATGGCATTACCACACTGAAAAAAATTAAGCTTCTAAAAAAAATTTTTTTTATGGTATGGTTTTATTTGTAAATGAATTTATAGCTACCTAAATAAATAAACAACTATTTTTTTGTATACAATTTTTTTTTAACATATGGTATGGATAATAAATTCATGGGATTATTTGTTTTGGTCATATTATTTTGTGAGCTGTGTGTCTTTTTGTGTTCTCCCCTTTTATTATCTCAGTGTACTTTTAGTGGAAAGGTCGTGGATGCTGGCAATGGATTTGCTTGGCAAGTTGTAACCTTAATTAGGCAACGTCACTAATCGCTTTACAAGCGCTGGCCCCAAACTAAGGCTAATTATCATAAAATCATTAAGCATCGAAAATTTATGCCGCACACAGACGCACACACACACACAATCGCATTAAGAGAGAGGCACACACACATACACAGGCAGACAGAAGAGAGGCTCAAATCGAGCGTCTCATTTTCGACATTTAATTACTTTCTGGAGGCACACACACACACTCATGCACATCGAACCCATACAAACACACTTCATTACAAGCAGCTTAGGCATAAATAAGGTGAGCTGCCACGCCCACTTCCCCCCACCCACCGCCTCCTTCCACAAATCATTTTTCGCCTTATTGAGCGCCCTAAAAAGTATGCCGCGTTTTCGTTTTCATTTCCATTTCCACGGGGGGGGGGGGGGGTGGTTTTTTCATTACCCCCCACCCCCAAACCCCCATTTTTTCTTTGGCATTTTCGGCATTTTCCATTGCCTTTGCATATGATTTGTTGGCCAGCTTTTGGCAAGGCCGCAATTGCCGGCTGACAAACCGCTTTTCATACGCCCATTGCACTGGCTCATTATTTGCTTGCGATGCCCGCTTAGGCATTCTAAATCAATTTGGATTTGTGGCTCCAATTGCCAGGCAAAGCGAGCGGAATCTTGGCGATTGTCTGCCACTGGAATTCAAATACGGGAATACAATACCCACAGTTCAAAACAAATTAATGAGCTGAGTTAGGGGAGAATTCTACTCAGTCTACACATAGTAACATACCTTTATTTAATAACTTTAAAGTAATTACATTAAATCCAATTTGAATTTTGGGGCCTTAAATGTTTAAAAAACATGGGAAATATATATAAATTTGTAAAGTTAAGCAGTAACACATATATTCCAACCAAAAATAAAAAAATCTTCACAGATACATAACTAGAGTTTTTTTTGTTATTTATTATTCGTAATGAATAAATGGTAGTTAATTGGCTAACCAACAAAGTCTATTAGCCACCCATCTAAACCAGAAAAGGTTTAGTCGATTTTGCCTATTAATTAACTATGTCAAACGTAACTTTTTTCCATTAATGAACTATACGATAAGCCAGCTTAACTTTTATATATTTATTAATTAATTCAATCGGCTTAGATGTGGTCCCTGTTACAACAAATTAATTGTATTAGCTTTTGTAACTATTTCATGTAAGTTAATAAGGCCAAACTGCTTATGTAGGTGTTTCTACGTTAATTACTTAATCCTAACTACTTATCGTTTATATTAATTCATATTTTATTTATTCAATGTCCGGGGTAATTAATTTTTCTAAATATTTAATAGGAAAATTAGCAAAAATATTTTTAACCAGTCTAGTATGTGTGCTAAAATGTTTCAAATACATATTTAATATTATATTTATTAAAGCAAATTTACTGAATAATGATGGGTAGCACAAAAATAATTAAAGTTGAGTTTATCCAGAAAAAATAAATGTTTTTAATAGATGACAATGTAATCGTTTAGGGAAGTTCGAAGTATTAATTTCTTATATTAATTCCACCCATAATCGATGTATATACCCCTAATTTCGATACTATTAAAGACAATCGGGGCAGCTAGAAAAGGTTCCATTTGAAAAAGAGCTTAAGCTGCGTCTGAGCAATATTTATGCATTATAAATGAGAAACCTTATCGGGCCGGGAGTTTCCCGTTGTTGTTCGCAGTTGGCAGTTGTCGCTTCTTTATGGCGCTTTAGATTTTCCGCTCGACGTGCAGCTCAATTTGCCACGCCCCTGGCCGCCCACCTACTTCCTGACCCACCCCACCCTTTGTAATATATATATATATATATATATATAAGTATCTACGTATACTTGCAGGTCTCATTAAGCATATCCATTCTGCTGTCGCTCACTGTGTTCTTTCTGCTCCTGGCGGAAATCATTCCGCCCACATCGCTGGTGGTGCCGCTGCTGGGAAAGTTCGTGCTCTTCACCATGATACTGGATACGTTCAGGTGAGTCCCCTCCGATTTTTCCACGATTTCCCCATCGATCCACATAGCCAAATGTGCCACTAATGCGTCCCAAATATGCTAAAGTGCTTAATGCAGCTCTAACAATTTTAAAAAAATTTGTAAATTAAAACTATAATTTAATCTCCAGAAAGATTATATAAGCTTTTACTATATATACTAAATTTTGAAAAAATAATTATTCAGGGAAGTACTTTTGAAAAAATACTAAAACAAGTTGGTATTTTATTTGTATCTTACATACCAAATTTAAAACATACTGAAAATGTACATTCAAGAAAATTGAAGTAAACTGCTTATAAATTACTCCAACTCAAAGTCCTATCTATTTTTAAAGAATCTAAAATGCACATAAATATGTTTTGTGAATCTTTGAAAACTTCCAAATATGTAGTTAAAAAAGTTTTTCAAAACTTGGACCGGTGTTTTGGAAAGTTTTGCAAACGGTGAAGGAAAATAAAACTCGATTCGGCAGCCGTTCGACTTTGCTTGGCTTAGTGCCACGCCCCCTCACACCGCCACCGCCCCCCGCTGGGGTCCCATTAAATGGCTGCGGCAATTTACAGTCATTTGCCACGCCCACAAGGCGGCTGGGCCGGCACACCAAATGATGGCCGCCTAATTGTTGGTAAACAAAAGTCGACTGAGACCGAGAGTCGGAGTCTGCCAACAATGGAATCGCCAGTGGCGCAACAGGACCTCGCCTCAAATGATGTAATTAAGCCAGGCAGGACACCCTCCCCCCCTGGTCCTTATCCCCCCTCCAGACCCCCTCGTATTCTTTTCCAACGCCTTGGCCAGCTGCTAATTAGACGTGGGCGTCGAAAGTTAATTACCCAGACTAAGAGAGCAACTCACTTAAGTCCTTTCTGCATGTTTTCTCACCACCACCACCCACGCATTTTATCCTTGGACAACTCTTCTGCAGAGGGTACATAATATAGTGACACTTTATCATACACTTTCACATAATAATGTTGGCTAAAGGGATGATACAGTGGGAAAATCAATTTCTATGAGTCTATAATATAATATTTTACATAATATTTAATTCTTTTAAAAAGTCAATTAAATGTAAAGAAGTATCCTCCTTATAAGTTTTTTTTACATCTGAATTTTATACAAAACCCCCTTTGAACCCCCAATTTTTTTCCCTGCAGCATCTGTGTGACGGTGTTGGTGCTGAACATCCACTTCCGGTCGCCACAGACCCACACGATGGCTCCTTGGGTGCGGACCGTGTTCATCAACCAACTGCCCCGCTTCCTGGTCATGCGGCGTCCGCTGTACCCGATCAGCGAGATGATGTGAGTGTCCCCAAATAGATATAGATATAGGGTATCTATAACCCCCAATGCCGCCTCCTCTCATCTACAGAAAATCCTCGCGCCGCCTTATGGTGCGCACCTGCAACGGACTCGAACTGAGGGATCAAATACCACCGCTGCCACCGCCGGTGGCTTTGTCTCGGTAAGTTTTAAGGTGGCTTGAATAGGCACGACCTAAAATCTGAATATCGTATTTTTGAGAAAAAATCTGGGCCCTATTTTTTTGCCATAAAAATTGAGTTTTTTGGCTGCCAAAATAAAAATAAATGTCGGAATCAGGAATGTCATATCTCGTTGAGCTCGTTGTTTAATTTCCAATCGATTGGCATTCAAACATGAAAATTTTCCATTTTTGCCAATTTTCGCAAAAAAAGTGATCCAACCCCTTACAAAAATGCAAAAATTGGTCAAAAAATAAATTTTCCTAAAAATGATAGAAATCGTTAGTATATTTATCAAGCTACCCAAAACAATCAGTCTTTTAGCTGTACGCCTTGATTTGACTGAATTACGAATGAAAAACCGGAAAGACTTTTTGACTAAAATCTGAATATCGTATTTTTGAGAAAAAATCTGGGCCCTATTTTTTCGCCATAAAAATGCAGTTTTTTGGCTGCCAAAATAAAACTAGAAGTCGGAATCAGGAATGTCATATCTCGTTGAGTTCAGTGTCTAATTTTCAATCGATTGGCATTCAAACCCGAAAATGTTCCATTTTTGTCAATTTTCGCAAAGAAAAGTGATGTGAGGGGTTCAAAAATTGAGAAAATTGGTAAAAAAAAAAAATTTTCATAAAAGTGATTAGAATCGTGAGCATATTAAGCAAGCTGCTCAAAACAGTCGATCTTTTAGCTGTACGCCTTGATTTGGCTAAACTACGACTAAAAAACCACTAACAAATGAGTATTTTTGACCAAAATCTGAACCCCAAAAAAAACCGAGCTACCCCCTTACAAAAAATGAAAAAATTTGTCAAAAAATAAATCTTTCTTAAAGTGATGCTCAAAACAGTCGGTCTTTTTTCTGTAGGCCTTGAGTTGGCCAAACTACTATTGAAAATGAGTATTTTTGACTAAAATCTGAATCCCATTTTCCTTATAAAAAACAGTGCTTTAATTAGAAAAATAAATTAGTATTATTATTAGCACTGTATAAGAATACTTTTAAATGTTTCTTGATGTTTCAGCATGCACCACAGCCCGAAGACGACATCGCGGAGCACCTCGCCCCACCTGCAGCACCGCGTGCAGACCTACAACCTGATGGACGAGTGCAGCATTGGCATGGGCGGCGGCATGGGGGGAGGAGGAGGTGCCTCCACCATCACCGGCCACCTGAGCTCCCTTTATCCGCCGACCATGTCGACGGCCAACCAGCAGACCTCGACCACATCCTCGCTGATCGATGCCCAGTACCACAATCAGTACCAGCAGACGGGTGGCTCGCTGCTGGACCACCCCCTAACGCCCACCAAGTTCCGCCAGATGACCTCGACCTCCAGCCAGACGGGTCAGAATGGGAATGGTAGTGGGAATGGCGGTGGCTATGGGGGTCATAACCAAGGTGGGGGCGGGGGCGTGGGTCACCTGTACCGACAGCAGTCGAGCTGCTCGGCAAACTTCTCACCACTGCCGCAGCACGCCCACCAGGCGCACGCCTCCACCACCACCAGCGATCTGGGCATGGCCAATCCGAATGTGATAAAGTCCACGACGACGGTTAACTCGGTGGCCACCGCCTCAACGCTGGCGGAGTCCTGCTGCAGCGGCACCATCCAGATCCACCAGGGCATGGGCGCCGGGGCCGCTTGCCAATCGTCGGAGCTGCTGCACCACCAGCAGTTGCACCACCAGCAGATGCACCACCAGCAGCAGCAGCAGCAGCCGCACCACCAGCGACCCACCACCTCGGCAGCGGCGGCAGCAGCAGCAGCGGCAGCCGCCGGCGGACCCAGCACCTCGGCAGCGGCAGCAGCTGCGGCGGCGGCAGCGGCGGCCGGAACGCCACCACCACCGCCACCGCCGGCGGGCGTCTGTGATATTCTGCCCGCCTGCCAGCGCGAGGGCGGGCCGCACTGCTGCTCGGGGCGTGGCAATGTGCGCCAGCGGTGGCACACCTGCCCGGAACTCCACAAGGCCATGGACGGGGTCACCTACATCGCGGATCAGACGCGCAAGGAGGAGGAGAGCACAAGGGTGAGTAACGCCGAGCAAGATCACATAAGATAGAACACACCCCGCAGCCGACGAGCTTTTGCCGGCAAAATACCAGCGGTTCATATACTTAAGACACCATTAACTATATAATAAAAAGGAACAATATTAAAAGAAGATTTTTTTTATAATTAATTTCAAAGAAATATATGTACAGTGTACATTTTAAAGACAGAAAAAAAAATTAATAAGATATGATGCTCTTTTTGATAAAATGTTGTAAGCTTGCCACTACGAATTTTAAAAAGAATTTTTCTCAGCATCCACAGTTTTATTCAACTTTTTCATATTTATGCCTTAGCCAATTTAATATGGTTTCTTGGAAACTCCTATAATACCACCAATAACTTAAGTACATTTGAACATTTCGATGATTTGGCCAATTTTCTGGGGAATTCGCTTTAAAGGAACCGTTTTTTATTTTTCGTCTCCCAATGGAGAAATTATTTTACTTGCTCTTCAGGAAGGCCGCAAGTGCAGCAATCCAGTGAAAATAAAGAAAAGGAAACTGAAAAGCCGGAAGAAAAAAACAAATGGCCCCAAAGCCGCTTAACGTTTGGCTGCGACAAAGAGGAAAACACCTGAGAAAGAGACGGAAACTGACACCGAGAAAGAGACAGAAACTGACACCGAGAAAGAGACAGACAGTGTGGATTTTGATGTTAATAAGCCTGGCGCAATAAATTAGAGCGGCCTAAGGCGGGATTTATTGGCATGTCGATAATCGATGGCCAGAACTCAACCTCAAACTCGAACTGGAGGCTCTAGATAGTCGAGATACCTTGGCCAGTACCCAGTTGTTGATGATGTCCGACTGTCACTGGCTCTGCCCTTTCGTTGACCTTTCCCGCCCGATGTCCCGGTGTCCTAGTGTCCCGATGTCCCGGTGTCCTGGTGTCCTGGTCTCCATATGTGTGTCCGTGGGGCATCCTCTCTATGGGCGGACTTATGCCGGCTGCGCCAAAAGTTTTAATGACTTTTCATGCGCCTTATTGAGCAGCGACTACGGCCATGTCCTGCCATCGTACACTCAAGAAAATTCCATGCTTTTTGCGGAATATTAGAGAACATTTTTTTATACATTTTTATAAAAGGGTTATAAGGAAAATGTTTTCTCATTTTGAGTTTTTGCGACATATTGTACTGTTTGCCTAATGTTTTATATGACTTTCCCTCCGTAAGTTCGTTAAGTAATTTAGAAATGTTTTTAAATCAGAATAGCTTGTTTTTTAAAAGTAAAACACCTATTATTTGAAAACAGCTTATTAAAATTCCTGGCGATAAGCCTTCCCACTTTCAATTATTTAAATATTTATTAAATTAACAAAATTTAGATCCGAAAAGTAGACAAACTTATTTCTTTAAGTGCAGCCTTGTACGCCTGGTTGTTCGCGTAGTTACGAGCATTGCTGTTGCTGCTGTCCTCTCATCATAATGAATGTTTTCTTGTGGCATCGAACAAAATGCCAATAAAAGTATTTTATTAAAATTACGCACACATTCAATCATTATTGGAATGTCCTGCCGGGCTTAGCGGTGGAGGCGTGGGACTGGGACTACGACTGCGACTTGGACTGGGACACTTGGACAGAACTAGGGCATCTCCGGACGGGAATCGTAGGACAAAGGACACGGGACACAGAACTCAGGACACAGAACGCAGTGGCAGTGTTGTCAATAGTAGACTTCCAAAAGTAGCTACAATCAGCCGTCATAAAGTATGAAGTTCATTTTAATTTCAAATATATTTTTTTATAGAGGTGTAAGAAATAATTTATAGATTTGTATTTTTATCAAAAAATTTATAATGACTATATATAAAGTTAACACAAATAATATATTTAGTCCTCAAAAATATTAGAAAATATTTTTAAAATACCAGAATTTTTTAAAGGTATTAGAAAATAGTTTAAAGTAATTGAAAAATGGTCCACATTTCAATTCTCTTGGAGCTACTAATGTATTTAGTTGTTTAAAATATTAGAAATTACTATTGGTTTTAAGATATTCAAAAATATTTTAGAAAAAAATTGACATTTTAACTCTCTTATTTGGCTATAAACTAGCCAAGTTGGCAGCACTGCGGGATCGAATGCTGAGAAATGCGAGACAGCTTCGGCGGCATTTACATTGAGTGCGTGTCATTTGCGCCACGCCCCCTGGGCGATGGAAGGCGGTAGGATGGGAGGCGTGGCAGCGGACTGACGAGGGAATTAGTCGCAAGACGCGTGGACAAAGTTGAACATATTGCCTGGCTTATGAACTTCAGGCCCAGCGAATGAATATCGAATGAATGCCAATTGAAAGGGGGAAATCTTGTTGGCTTAAAAAAGAAATGGTGTTTAAAGACGCCACACTTGTAGCATTATGTCTCGAATATTAAAATACTAAGTAATAACAAGTTAAAAAGGTATTAATAAATATAAAGGTTTAAATACAAAGTCTATATAATTATATAACATAAAATAGGGGACCAAAAATGATTAAAAATAATTAATTAAATGACCATTTTTAGTATTTTAGTATTTTTAAAGGTCTTTAAGGTCTACGGTCATACTTATAATAATTAAGCTAATTTCCTCAACAGGTGAAAGAGGACTGGAAGTACGTGGCCATGGTGCTCGACCGCCTGTTCCTGTGGATCTTCACAATAGCCGTGGTCGTCGGCACCGCCGGCATTATCCTGCAGGCTCCGACGCTCTACGACACCCGGATGCCCATCGACATAAAGCTATCGGAGATCGCCTCGACGACGGCCAAGCCCAATGTGGCCAGGCCAGTGTTGTAAGCGGATCGATAAGTATCGATCTATCGCTCGATCGATATCCAGTATTCCGGCGAACACACACCACACACAGTCTGAAGAAGCCAACAAAAGCAAAACACAAGTAATGAATGAAATTCGCATTTGTTTTTTCTTTAACCAGAGAGAGAGGGGATACAACAAAATAAAAAACAAAACCAAAAAAATAACCACAAAAACTTGTTCCAAAAATAACAGAAGCGACGAGGAGAATCCAAGTAACTATAACTATAATAAATTGTATTTGTTGTATACATAAAAGGTATAACTAACTATAAATAATTTGTACACTAATGTTTAAACAGGCAAACGATGCTAAACAAAACGGTTTTTTTTCTAGGCAACGTAAATGAACAGATACAAAAGTGACGAAACAAAAAATAAAAACAAAATAATTAAGTAAACCAATTCAACTGAAATGAAGCGCAAAATAGTATGCAACAGATAAATAAATACAATTTATGGTAATAATTGAGAGCGAAATTAAATTAGTGAAATTAAACTAGCCTAGCCAAACATCAAGAATAACGAAAAAAGAAAAAGAAAAAAAGAAAGTGTATTTGTTGAACAAGAAAACCAAGAGAAGGAGAACAACATTAGTTAGCTAAGCGAACCAAAATAAAGGAACAGGAAAAAAGCCAACAGAAAAGGCATATGTATGTATTTGTATGTATGAGTGCACCGAGAGAAAAGCGGGGAAAAGAAAAGGAAATTTTGTGATTTAAGAAAGTTGTCTTCTGGAAGTTTTTAGACCAGGAAATGGTATTTATTTTGCAGATTTAGTTTAACTTTAAATTAACTTAAATATAGTTTCCCAAAATATGAAGTATTCCTTTAGTTTTCTTTAAAAGTATCAATCTATATTAAAGTTTAAAAATATCTTACCTTTTTTTTAGGTTTAAAACAAATTATTTTTAATTTGAACTACTTATATTTGTAGGATTCTTGCCGAGAAGAAAGCCTTCCTAAATTATGAATTCTTCTAATGGATTCTTTTTCTCCGCGTGCATGAGTGTGTGTTGCCGTATGTGTGTGACTGCAAATGAGGCATGCAAATTAGTGCAAATATACCGAGAGAATGTGGAAAGAGGAAAATGGGGGACCCCCGTAAATGAAGCCCCCAGGCCCCGGAAAATCCGGAAAACCCCCTGCCCCCCTCCACGATTTCGCCTTGGGGCAATTAGTTAGCACAAAGCTTTAGTTATTATGCCCAAGTGTATGTGGGCCTCTGTGTGCGTGTTGGTGCGAGCGCATGTGGTTGCATAGTAAATAATCGCCATTAGAAATTCAAATTCAATTTTGGCGCTTGCACTGCCTAATTGACAAAAAACGCGCCCAAGTTGCTCACGTTTCTTTCAGCCGCCCAATTAACATTCCCCCCCCCCCCCCCCCCCCACACTCGCCACCGCCCACACTCATAATTTATGCTAATTTCCAGTTGCATAATTCACTAAAAACAAAAGAATAACAACAGGGGGAAGCTACCTGCCAAATAAAAAAAGGCAAAGACACCAAAAGTTTCCTTGGCCTTCGCATTTTTTTGGTGCTGTTATATGGCGATTGCTTTATTTGCAGCCCCGTTTATTTGCTTTACACTTTTTATTGCTCATAAAATCAAATGATGCCTGATTAGGGGGAGCCAACACAAAAAACAACAACAGAAAGGACATCGACAGCGGGGAATTCCCCTTTTTTGCACCAAACAAAAAAGCGGAAAGTTTAAAAATGTACGCAGCTTAACATATTTCTGTTAACTGGGGAAATTTTAACAGCCGACAGGTGACAGAGGTTTCTTTTTCGATATTGCAGCCAAGAAAAAGGGATATTTTCTTATTGATTTGTGCAATAAGTTAAATTATTAAATACATTTGCTAAGAACTGTATAAAAATAACAGTTAAATACTTGTACATTTTTCTTTAAAAAAAATTTAAAATTATATTATAATTGTTTTATTTGTTTGTATACAAAAATATTTACTAGTACTAACCTTAAATTTTAAATTTGTTATATTAAATTTCTTAAACAAACAAAAAAGCGGAAAGTTTAAAAATGTACGCAGCTTAACATATTTCTGTTAACTGGGGAAATTTTAACAGCCGACAGGTGACAGAGGTTTCTTTTTCGATATTGCAGCCAAGAAAAAGGGATATTTTCTTATTGATTTGTGCAATAAGTTAAATTATTAAATACATTTGCTAAGAACTGTATAAAAATAACAGTTAAATACTTGTACATTTTTCTTTAAAAAAAATTTAAAATTATATTATAATTGTTTTATTTGTTTGTATACAAAAATATTTACTAGTACTAACCTTAAATTTTAAATTTGTTATATTAAATTTCTTAGTTTAAAAAAAAACCGAATTTCTAACAACTTTTGGTTTAGAAAAATGTTGTATTTCTTAAATATTTAAAGATCATATTATTCAAAAAGTATAAAAATTTTTTTTTTTTTTTTAAATTTTTTTAAATTTAGTTTAATTGATTGATTTATATTTTTTGTTCGCCTGGTCCGGAATTATTGCCGATGCCAACAAAAACCACATTGCGTGTGTCGTCAGAAGCAAGTGTCAATCACAGTCACCGCACTGCAATTGTTCCCGCCACGCCCCCTGGACCGCCACTCCCCCCTCCCCCCTGGCCCTGCCCACAGCCCCCGCCCATATCACACACACACAACACTTTTCCAGTTTTTAATTAAATGAAATGCAAGCGAAGAGTTATTGCAGACAGTGTGCCAGAGGGAGATGGGGCGATGAGTGAAATGCACACAAAATGAAAAGCCATTAACGAAATATTATATCTGAAGATGGAGGGAGTGGCGATGTCAGCTGAATCCTGTTTGGGATATAAAAACCACAACAAATTCACAAGTTTTCCTGCACAGAAAGAAAATTGATCTTAAATGGGGTCTGTATATAAAACATACGCCTAAATACAATCCTTTTAAAGCCTTTTAAAGCAAGAAAAATATCCTTAGCTTCGTTATTAGTGTTTTTTATAATATTTTACAAAGACATTTTTTTAACTTGATCTTAAAAATGACCCCTTTAAAATGCATAAGCATAAATATAACCCATTTATAGAAAATTGATCTTGAAAATAATCTCTATAACAAGGCATATGCATAAATGAAATCCATTTATATCCTCTGAAACAAAAAAAGAAAACTATTTTAACTATTTAAATAAAACACTTTAATAATTTGATCATAAAAGTGATCATTATAAAAAGCAAGTGCATGAGTACAACCCTTTTATAGCTTCTCAGATACAAGAAAAAGATACTTTGTTCCGTTGCCATTTTTGTTTTTATTAATTTTACGAAGAAAGTTTTAAAAAATACTTAACACCAATACTGCAAAGAGCTACAAATTAATTCAAATTAATTTCCTTATTTATTAAAAACATATTTTCAACTTAAGAGGCCAAAAAGATCTCTTAAAAACCTCTTATTTTACGAAACTGTAGAGTATCTATACATATTCTTTCTCTGTATCTTTGATGTTATTTAAGCACAAGCCATTTAATAGGTTACCCCCGAAATATAGCGCGTCCGAAGTGAAGAAGAAGTAAATCTGGAATGGGGGCATTTGGAGACCGCAAATCATAATTGTTGCGGACACACAAGACACAAGAAAAGCAAATAATGGTGGGGGGATGTGGGGTTTTGGGAATTCAGGGAGTTGTGTGGTGGAGTGGATGTGGATGGGGGTGGTCAACTCCACCCCAAAGTCGTAACAATGCAAACTGTGTGGCCACACACACACAAAAAGGACATTAGCCCTGCTCCTTTGCTTTACTTTCTGCTTTTGGCTGTTGCTTTTGCTTTGCTTATGCTTTTTCCTTGCTCACACTTTTGCTTTGTTTCATTCATTTGAAGTTGTTTTCCCTTTTTCTTTACTTTTTGGCCGCCAATGAGCGATGCGTATCAGCAGCGAACGTGGCCAAGAATTCGTTCTATTTGTTTGTTTTCACTCCTGCGGCCTAAATGTATTTACAGTGGAATGTCCTTCGATGGCAGGGAAAATTAAGATTACCTGTTCATAACCGATTCGCAACCGTTTCACTGAAAAAATCCTGTTATAAACCCTTATTTTTTACAAAACAACCGTAAACGGTGTTAAAGTAAATAATTCAGAGCTTTTTGAACTATTTAAATCAATGTAATCCTCTTGATTTTCCAAATCCTTTTTCCCCCAAACCATTCCATTTAAATTTTAAATTAAAGCTTAGTCCTGTTACAAAAAATAAAAGATACCCCATAGCCAAAGCCTATTGACAGGGCCGAAATAAATAAATAAAAAACTGGGCAATGGCTTAGCCGGAAATATCCATCATTGAGCATTTCCCACTGTACCGGCATTTTATCTATGGGTCCGAGTTTCGCGTGGAAACTGCGCCCCCGAACGCAGTGGGCAATACAAAAGCAATCATAAAGTTATAGCCCGGCCGAAACAGTCGCTATTCCGCGGTACTTCCCCTCGGCCAGTTGGCCATTTCCACTGCCGTTCCCGGTTTTCGGTCCAGTTGCTGGCCAAAAACTCGTAGCAGAAACCAACTTTACACCCTTGGGCGACATTTTCCACCAGGCAGCCTTTTCCGCACCCACATTCGAAAATCCAACCAACACCATCGCTCTAAAACAGTGCTGATTGCTTGTCTATTTTTCAGGCAGTTATGTTAGGAACCCCTAGCTCAAGTATACGGAATTTCGTTATATTTAAGTCTTTAGTTGTTTAACTATTGGGGTATTATAAAAACGTATTTAATTTCTGTTTGTTATTGTTATTCTGATATTATTATAGCAATTCAGTTTGATATTGAAAAAATATAATAATTCAGTTTGATATTGTAAGATATATATCATCATAATAATTTAGTTTGATAATTTTTACAATATCATTATAATACTATTTAAAATATTTTTAGACTATATCGGCTTATTAATGGTCATAATATAAATATTTGGAAAATAAATATTTAAAACAACATTATTTTTTAAAACACATTTTTTATAAATTTAAGAAATCTATATATTATTTTAATTACTTTACCGTTGTTTTATTTAAATCTTTTAGTAATATTTGGGTAACAAATGGATTTGCTTTTCCCATACTTAGCAACATTACAAATAAATAAATAAATTTAAAATGTTCAGCCAATTGTTTTAATAATTAATTAGAGATCGTGATATAATTCTTTTGTTTCTTGAAACTTCCTATATATATGGCTGGCATCACTGGTCCCCGCCCATAACCTCCGAACACGCTTTTCCTTTCCCCATTTTCCCGTCCCTCATATCATTTAATGTCCTATCTGTGTTTCTGCTTCTGTTTTCGCCCACCTTTTTGGCTCAATAAGAGCGGCGAATTTATTGCTTGCTAATAGGAAAACAGCCTCCCCCTGGACTTTTCCGCAGAACCTCCATTTTCCCAGACCCTCTCCCGAAAAAAAAAAACAAAAACTGGTCAGGAGGACAAAGTTTGTCGACATTTTCTGTTTCTCCCCTAGAGCTAAGGAAAAATATGTTTTCAACATAATTTCATTCATTATATTTGGATTGTTATTGTTGTTGCTTGGCTGGCCGTTGTTGCTGCTCATTTTCAGCAGGCTCATTATCGGCCACGCCCCCAAAAGCACACACACACACACACACAGACACCTTGGGCGGGCATTTTGGCTAATTTGAATTTGATTTCATTCGGAAAGTTTGCCGTTTTTGGCATTTGTTCCATGGCGCTGTTTTGATTCGTGCGACAAGTGCAAATGATTGTATTCGTGAGTTGATTAATTGAAAATGAATGCGAGACGGGGGGAAATTGATTTTCTTTTCTTTCCGAACTTGGCAAAAATTAAACATTTCTGACCCTATTGAATTTTCAAAAAAAAAAAAGTCAAAGAAAATTATCTCTAGAGAAAATATGCAAAATAAAAGTCGTTTATCGACTTTCTTTTCAATTTTTCCTTTTTTTCATAACGAAAATTCAACGAAAACAAGGATAGAACATTTTTGGCCTCGAAGAATTTTCCTAAAATTCGCCGAAAACATCCTTAGCACAAATGAAACGAACCTCTAAGGTTTCACAGGAATAAAAAATATAGATGTTCCATATAGGGATTTATGGCCCAAAATCTTTCCGAGTGCATGAGTGTGCGTGTGTGTCATATATATCACTAGTCACTAAAAAAAAACCAAAAAAAAAAAATATGGGAAAAAACAGGCGTTGAAGAAAACATAATTAACACATATTTATATGGAAAATTGGAGCAAACAACGGAAAATCAACTCAAGAGACAGAGAAACAAAAGTGTAAAAATGTTGAGATATTTTTTACAAAACAAATTGGGCAGCACTAACCAAATGCCAAAGGGGTCAAAGGGGTTAGACCTTGGAAACATTGATTAAACTCGACTTTTTGGGGTCGCTACCATTTGCCACAAGACATTTTGTGCTCCAAACAGTTTATACATAAACGCATAGATATATAAATAATTATATATATAACGATATTTGGGATCGGGGGCATTGTGGGGCCGGCGAAACTAACACTAAAATTATAAACGATAAACAAAAATCGCATAAAGGAGGACATTTTTTTTAGAACGTACCTTTAACAGAACGATTGAGAAGCGTTCACGCAGAACAACTAACACTAATTTTAATGCATACATTTAATGGTAAAATTAACATTAACATTAAACTAAAACTAACAGAAGACATTGGATAAGCGATATACACAGCAAAGAAAAGAAAAAATTAGCAAAATTGTTTAAAAACGAGCGAAGCAAAACCAAACACGAATTGAATTAACTTTTAAGAACATAACAAAAATTAAAAAAAAACCAAAAAATGAACAAGACATTAAGAAAAGATATTTAAAGAAAGCAAAGAAAAAAAAACTATAAAATTATACGATTTACAACACTAAGAAAAACAAATAATTGTAAAAATAGAGAGAACTTTTTTTTGCTCAAAGCCAGGGGGCAAATCCCTCACCTTTCCCCAAAAAATTAAAAAACACAAAAATAAAATATATTTCGCGGCACGTAAAAATTTGTTCGTCACGAAAGTAAGCCACAAAAATCCAACACAAAAACATTTTCTAAACAACAAATTTGCAAGAATTGGCCAACCCAAAACCAAAATAATGTTTAAAATTAAACTAAAACCAAAACGACACGCAAGTAAAACCACAAAAAGATAAGAAAAAACATAAGAAATTATAATGAAAACCAAAACTTAGCTTCTAGTGAAAGAATTTTTAAAACCAAGCAAAAATGAAACGATAGAAAAAATGCCCCAGAATCCAAAATAAGGAACCATGTTAACAAGTCGAGGAAAGCTAAATATATAAATGGAATTATGAGATCGGCTAGCCGACGCTGAAATACCCTTGCAATTGATTACAAAAGTTTGAAATGAACATAATGAAAATAGATATTAGATACTACCTTAAAATCAGAATAAAAATCACCCTAAAACTCTGAAGTTTTTTAAATACGTTTGATAATATTGTTTATAAGATAAAAATGGCGAATTTCCGGATGTCAGATTTTTTTTATAAATTAAAAACTTAGTTTGATAATTAAAACAAATACGTACAAATCATTTAAACTCTAAGCTTTTAAAATGCGAATTCCCGAATGGATGGAAACGATTTCTACATTTTATTACGCACAACCTTGGATTATAATAAACAAAATGTATATCAATAAGAATTTTTTCCCGGGGGCGATTTTTATTCCGATTGCAGAAAGTTTTGTAAGAAAATACGATTGCAAGGATATCGAATAAAATGTTTCTAAGGAAGTGAAGCGAACACTGAAACCAAATGAGAAATGAGAAACCGAAATTTAACTAGAGAATTCTTTTCAAATATCAAATAAAGCAAGAACATAAATAATATAATATTTCAGCCACGAAGGGAAACCCTAATAAAATTAAGAAGTAAATAAAACAAACGAAGGCAACCAACCAGTAACAACAACACACACATTTCAATTGCGCTCGTTTAGCCCATATATAGTATATTTCAATTAAAAAGAACGAAAAAAAAAACACATTACAATATTTCAATATGTCATTAAGTCACAGCGAATAAACAACAACAATAAGTTGAAGGCGACTTACAAATCTAAAGGAGAGAGAAACTGCGTTCGTGTGTGCGAGGGAGAGAGAGAGAGTTGGAGAGATATAGTAACTATATAAATATATATCTGTATCATCCGATACGATCTCCGTTGGCGCCAAAAGTCGGGCGATACTAATTTATTTCACTAAGGTTTTACAGCCGCTTGGTTTATGCGCGTTGCGAAATCGTGATCTAGGCTTAAAATTGATCTAGGGGTTAATAAATAATTTGTTAACTAGTAAAAACAGTGTACTCAAATTTAGCTACCGCAGTTTATCACGAATAAGTACATTTTGTAGAGTGCGTTTGGTAAACTATTACGTGTATAAATTTATTTTAAATATTTCTAGATTATTTTAATAAGCCTCACTTTTCGATTTCCAAATAGCCCTTGAGATTATCTTGACTTCTTCGTTTCTAAGCTTGATTTATAAATATCTACGATTTGGTATATGGTTATAATTTATAGTAAAAACGAAAGTTTTCGATGTGCTTAAATTTAAATACATAATTTTGCAACCTTTTTAATCTTGAGTTTAGCGTATAATTTTGAATTTAATTTATATTTTATCAATCAAAGCTAACCAACCATTTGAATTTTTCTTTTTCAATTTTGTTTCTACATTCCTAATATACTAGTAACTTATTTATGCGAATAAGCATTAAATATGTTTGTTAAAATATTGCCAACTTTGTGATTTTGTTCTTGAGATTTGCTACTACCTTAAAGTTTGCACAAAACGCACTGTACGATTATCACGATTTAGCAACGCGCATAAACCTCAAACAGACTGCGTGTGAGAGAGAGAGAGCGCTATTTCAGCTTTGTGAATTTCTAGCCTAAGCAGAACTTGTGTCTTTTTTGGTTTAAGGAAATGTGTGTCTACTTGTGTGAGAGTGTGCGACGTCCTGGCTCCTGGACGTGATTAGGTATCGATGGCCTGGTCATCGTTGTCATCCTCCAGCTCATGACCACGTCCCTCGCGGATCCTTTTCAACTTGCGCTTCAGCATCATGACGCCTGGAAGAGAAATTAGTTGTAGATAAAATCAAGTTGGTAAAGTCCTCTTCGCAATGCTCACATTTGATGGCCTGGAAGGTTTTGGCCGAGGCCGAACTGGTCTCCGAGGGCAGCGAGTTGGACGTGGTCCTTATATGGGCCAACTTCACCTCCAAATAGGCCTTCTTCAGCGTCTTGTAGTGACGGAATTCACTGGTGTCCTTGACCAGGATGCACTTGGCCGCCGAACCCTCGCCCGAGCAATCCGAGGGCGCCGTGTGATATATCTGATGGTAGAAGTACTGCAGCACCGGTGAGTTCCAAATCGATAGGCCATACCACAACCAAATGGGCACATTCAGAGGCAGCTTGAAGTTCTTGGCGAACAGCGTGGGTATGAAGTACTTGAAGGGGAGCAGGTTGACAAACACATACGCCCACACCATAATGCGCAGGCCCAGGAAGACCTGGTAGATGATCCGGTGCGAGTTGGTGCTGGGCAGGACCAGCAGGGCCAGCACCTCGGTGAGTATGCTGTACAGACCCACTGTCAGATTCAGGCCCACAAAGTAGTTCTCGTACCTGCAAGCAAGAACAGATTGTTATATAAATTACATTTAACTTTTGAAAGGATAAGGAGTGGTCAGTTATTTTGTTGCGATAAAGAATTTAGGTTTTGTCATAATAATAATAATGCCACGAGCATTTTTCAGTGATAAGTAAATATAACCCCAATTATCAAATTAAGCAAACCTTTCTATAGCTTGAATAGAGGTCCTATTTTTGAGCATACAGCTTGTAGGGCTGTTTTTATTACTCAACCCCCCTTTCAGGGATCAGGTCGAAAGCAAACACGTCATAACTTGCCTGTAAACATCGATGGCAATAAGGGACAGCAGGTAGAGTCCCTTGGAGCCCACCTCCAGGAAATCGGCGTCCTTAAAGTCCAGCCACGCCCCATGCAGGTAGAACGTGATGATGAAGATCGAATAGAACTGGAACTTTTCCGCGTGGTGAGAGCGATAGAAGATCAAGTTTTCCGAGGAGTAGAAGAGCGAGTAGCGCCCCTGGTTCTTCATCAGCTGGGGCAGGATCATGAACTCATTGTAGAAGTGCAGGAACAGGCAGCTGGCCGCATAGAAGGCGATGTTCCAAATCACGCGGGCAAACAGCCTCCGCTGGAAGTGCTTCATATTCGACGTCTTGAGGAAGAACTGCAAGGGAAACAGGGCATAATCAGTGGGCAATTAGTCGAGCATTGGTCTCGGGTCGTTACAGATAATGGATTATGGATTATGGTCAGCGCCGATCGGTCAGCGGTCAACGTTATATGCTATCTTTTAAGTAAGGAGCGGTTTGCCAACAGAAGGAATGGAAACTCATTTTAGGGCGCTTTGAAATTTAGCAATATATCATAAAGAACCTATTTCCGAAATACAATTCTAGTTTGCTTGCCTATGTCTATCTAATTTATAACCTTTAATTAAGGCAATAAATTAATCTAAAATATAAGATTTATCAACGGGGCTTTGAAAATTAACAATATATCATTAAGAACCTTTTTCCTAAACACAATCTTAGTTTTTTCGCCTATATCTGTTAAATTACAACCCTAAACCAAAATCAATAGTAAGCTAATCAATGAAGATTGGCCTATAACTTTAGAAAGCTTAATTTTTAAATATAATATTCAATCATTGGACTTTAAAAACTCTTAAAAACTTGTAAAATGTTTGCTTTTTACATACCAAAAGTTCTTTGCCATTCATATTATTTACATTTAAGCTGCCAAGAACTCCCAAAAAGTACCCTTCATTAGGGCTCTCACGGGGGTGGATGTAATATTTTTTTAGGCGCCCCACTCGGGCGGCACCCCCTTGACCCCCGGCATCCGAATCCGGCCCCGTCTTCGCTCTGTTTATTTATAAACGGCAAATTGGCCGAGCAACCCCTCAAAAGAAAAGTGCAATTGGAGGTGCCGCATCGAGGGCGATTGGAGGGTTAGGATTGGGATTGGATTTCGGCAAGCAGGACCCACCTGGAAGAGGCGCTGGAAGGCGTAGTAGCCGCAGGACAACGCCACGAATATCCAGAAGACCCCGTTTATCAGGTAATAGAGGTCTATGTCCCGGACCATCGCATCGAAGCGGTCGTTGGTGATCAGGTATTTCAGCGGCAGGAAGAAGTTGCTGATCTCCGCCCAGTAGTCGGGCGGGCCGGCCTTCATGTCCAGGATGGAGGTCATGCTGCTGCTGCTCCTCGGCGGGATTTCCCTTTCTGCCGCCCCAGAATCGCGTTTTCTTTTTGGTTTTGGTTTTCCTTTTCCCTCTCTTCTCGTTTTTAGAGGTGGCAAAACATCGATGTCGAAAAATCGATAGCAATGAATTTCGAAAGGGGGCACGCCAAAATGTCTGGTGGGTGTCTTCGATAACCTAGCAGAGACACACATCTATTTTCGGACAATTTTTGTTTTGTACGGTAAATTGTCAATACAGTTTATTGCAAATTTTCCTGTTATTCTTTTATGTATTTCAATTAGTTTGTTTTATTTTGGTGGCTATTATATATACATATATCAATTTAATATTGTATGGCAGTTATAGCTTAAAATTATTATAGGATTTATAAGAAACATGCTTTAAAAACTTTTTATCCCCAGCAACATGTCATCCGCATTGGCCAAAATCGAGGACTTTCCTCCCGATCCCGTGGAGTTCTTTAAGGAGATACTCCAGGCATCTGCCAAGGGACATCCTGAAGGATTTATTCAGGAAATGAACTTGGCCACCGTGGACGACGAATACGGAGTCCTCAACCGCACAGTTCTTTATCGTGGACTCACCCAGGATAACTTTGTGTTCTACATAACGCATCGGTATACCCGCAATTTTAAGAACCTTCAAGCCAATCCCAAGGCCTGCATTACCTTCTATATGCCGGATGTCAAGGATAATGCCGGAAATCAGAGTTCCTGGCAGGTGCGACTGATTGGGGCCACTGCCGTAGAGCTTCCCGAGAGCGAAATGGATCCCTTGTGGGCCAAGGAGAATTTGGCGGCCCAAATCAGGGGTCACATCTGTCCCTGCGGAGAACCCATCAACTATGATGAGCTGAAGGCAAAGCATGATCAGTTCCTCGAAGATCACAAAGGAAAACCCATCGAGAGGCCCGCCAGCTAGTGAGTATAGCTCCAAATATCAAAATATCATATGTTATAAACATTATTTGTATCCCTTTTTAGTACCGCTTGGAAATTCCAACCCCAGAGATGGGACTTCCTAAAGGTCGGAATCGACCAGATTGCCGATCGGGTGCAGTATCGCCTCCAGAGCAGTGGAAAATGGGAATCCATGCATGTCTCCACCTGAAAAGGGGAACTTCCCACCCCAAAATACATCCCAACTTTAGGCGATTTCATTTTATTCAACAATATCTTTCTACAAACAGCTAAACGTAAATACTAACAACTAAATTTGCTTCCTTTTCGATATGTTTAACATACAATTACAACATAGTTAATAAATATTACACAAAACAGCAAAAAAATTAAGGACGTTTAAAAAATAGTTAGCATAGAGTTAGGTTCGAGTAACATTAGAGCAGGTTAGTTACATATGCTTAATTGGTTGCTTTGCTACACACATAATACCCAGTGAGTTCGGTTCCGTTTTCTACACAAATGCTTGTGGGGGCGTGTCGCCGCCCCCGGGGGACTATACCGACTATATCGCGTTGATCGTCTCGCGGATCCAGGCGGCATTCGAGGCGATCTTGTCGTACATCCTGGGCCGCTCCACGCCTGTGGGTCCGCAGGCGATCCGCCAGGAGGAGACCCCGATCAGGGCCCATTGATTCGTGCCGGGAATGAGGCACTGGACGGGGGCCCCCGAGTACTCCTCTTGCTGGATGGGCGAGATATTACGAAAACAGACGGTATAAATTATTAGGAGATCGAATCCAATATATTCCGATATTTAAAATGAACAGATTTGAAATCACTTCCTGCATGGCTTAAAATTTGGATTAAATAATCCTTAGGTCGAAATTCCTTAAAAATAAAATAAAAAAAATATTTTAAGTGCTATTGTCTAAAATACTATTGTCTAATTCAACCTTATTGGGTGTACCCTTATAGTACATGTTTTATATATTTAAAAAATTGCTTTTATAATTTAAGAAGTATTTATTTATAAATTATTGAATGAACTCGAATTTAGTAAAATCGTAAAACAATAAGTATGTACATACATATGTACCTTCACAATTTGGGGCCACTCTATAATTAAATATTTTTGTATCCAAAATTGATATTAGTCACAATTATGGAAATAAATTGTCGACTTAAAATATTCACAATTTTTAAAATAATTTTTTGTACTAACAAATTTTGTTTATTTATTGGGGTCCACTTTATTCTTGCATTTCACCATGGAATTTAACTCGAGTCACCCCAATTGGCGATCGTGACGTCACACACGCACGCGACATGCAGCGACGCGTTCTTCGTAGAGCAACAACAACAAGCAGACGAAACAATAACAAAATTGAATGAGTAATTTCCATCTCTCTCTTTTTTACTCTCCAAATTTGAGCACGAGCGAACTCACACATTAGCAGCACAACCCCCGTTACCTGTGAGCCCTTACCTAGGATAGCAAAAACAACAACTGTGAGTGCAGCTGCAGGCAGATAAAAAGACAAAAAGGAAAAGGGAGGGGAAAAAGGAGACAGCGACAGCGAGAAGAAGAAGAAGAGGCAACGGTCGAAGGGACACTAACAAAGCACACATAAAACGAAGCGCCAACAGTTGTTTGCATTCATTCAATCGGCAACTTTCCAAGCGATCGCATCGCAGCAAAAAGTGATAGAGAAAGAAGAGAAAAGAAGGATTTCCAGTGGCGAGATCAATCTACAAAATATCAAAGCGAATCAATTTACTCTGCGTTTAAGGAACGAAAAGAAAGCCAAGGATGACGGACACTAGCAGCCGCTTGAAGATCCTTTTCCAGGGCGAGACGAACCTCATCACTTGCGGATCTTCCAACACCTACGAAGAGGTCATCTCCCAAGGTGAGTCACAGAACTGGAACGCCAGAATTGGAATATAGTGGCGTCGTCTTCCAAAGTAATTCCATTGAGTCTTACATATTTCCTTCCATTGAGTACACAGAAAAAAAAGATACCCACTCAAGTGCTGATCAAAAAATATTTAGTTTCTGGATAAATAATATTAATAAAAACAAGGAAGAACGCTATAGTCGAGTACCTCGACTATCAGATACCCGTTACTCAAAGGGAAATGGAGATATGCAAGCAGCAAAGCGAGATTAAAATGCGCCACCTACCGGCGGTAGACAGATTTAAGCGTTATGGGCGTTAGAGTGGGCGTGGAAAATTTATTTTTGGATCAATCGATAGGTATTGACGACACCAATACATTTCAGTTAAAATTTCTTATCTAGCATGCAATTTGTGGGCGTCACAGGTTTTCGCGAATTGTGGGCGTTTTAGTGGGCGTGGCAAACTTTTTTTTAGGTCAATCGATAGGTATTGTTGAGAACAATACATTTCAGTTAAAATTTTCTATCTAGCATCAAAACTGTAGGAGTTACAGTTTTGGGCGGTTTGTGGGCGTTAGAGTGGGCGTGGCAGTCTACTGAAACAAACTTGCGCTGCGTAAGAAGCTCAGGAATCTGTACGCCAAATCTCAATAGCCTAGCTCTCATAGTTTCCGAGATCTCAGCGTTCATCCGGACAGACAGACGGACAGACGGACAGACGGACAGACGGACAGACGGTCAGACGGACAGACGGACAGACGGACAGACGGACATGGCTAGATCGACTCGGCTAGTGATCCTGATCAAGAATATATATACTTTATGGGGTCGGAAACGCTTCCTTCTGCCTGTTACATACTTTCCGACGAATCTAGTATACCCTTTTACTCTACGAGTAACGGGTATAAAAATGTTTTGATCTTAACACAGTTAATTTTTCTTTCTGTGTTTCTAATCTGTTGCTTGAGTATAATATTTATCCCAATCTTATGTTATTATATACCAATTTTGGAGACAACTATTTAATACTTTAAATATATCCAACAAGCTCTAATTATTTTTTTAGTACCTATTAAGTAACATGTAAATTAAATGTTGGATATTATTAAAAGATTTTATTCTAAAAGATATTAAAAAATGCCCACTTTAATCGAATGAATTTTTTTTCTAGCCATGTCCCAATTCGACATTCCGGAGGCTCAAAGGAGTGCCCTTATCCTGACCAATGGAAAGGACTACGTGTTCGAAGAGCACTTGTTGGAGTACTTCTTGCTCCTGTTTCCCTGTCCCGAGATCACCTTCCACCTGAGGTTCGACTGGTCCAAAATGCGCAGGAGTCTCAGCAAGACCGTGTGTCTCAAGCGAAAGCGACCAGTGGAAAAGGATCAGGCCGATGGCCAGAAAGTTGAGGAGCAGGAGAAGGAAGAGCCGGTGCTGGACTACAAGCCGGTACCCGTCTACCGGATGAACTGTTTCCTGGGTTCGCTGCCCAGCGGAGGAGCCGCTACCGTGCATCGCCAAAATTGCTTCCTCAGGGAACAATCGCAGCAGCTCGAGGAGATATCCATACCACGACTGAGCGAGGAGGATTCCCAGCAGCAGGAGCCGCAAAAGAAGCGCCTTCGCTTGGATGTCTGCTCCAAGCCAAGACGCACTGTGGCCGCATCGGTGGTCCCCTCCCCCCTTCCTGTCAAGCGCTCGATTCGCATTTAATTCGCTGATCACCATTTGTACATAGCTATAGTACGTATACGATATTCCATATAAACATAGTCATTAGCTAAAAGGTTGAACCACTGTCACTAAGACTAACACTACTCCTATCTCACCAAAAAAACGTCCAAACCAAATGTTATATTATGTAAAATAAATCTTTTTGTTGATATTTTAAGCTATATGAAAGCTACTTTAGTTCCTAAGCTACCAGCTTCTACACGATTGTAATTTACTTTTTATTTTCAACTTCAATTCATTTCACTTTATCTATTTCTTAAATATTCCCTAAAAATATTTCGCAATTTTGAAGTTTTATACGCATTACTTTCCGAACTCAAGTCATAAAAAATCGAACTAAAAAAATTGTTTATTAAGTTATAAGACTTTTAGTCCCTATGAAGTGATTCAGTTTAATAAAGCTAAGTTATTTTGCAGATCTAATTTATTTTGTTTAATTGGATGATATAGTATATTGTAAAATTTGTACTCACCGTGCAGTCGTACTTTTGGTAAGTGGCCTCCATGCACATGGAGTTCACGGTGGCGATGGACACATTCTCGCAGGGCGCCATGTCACCCATCTTCAGCTGGACGCGCTGCAGGTGATCCCGCTGTCGGGACCATCCGAGTGTATTACAATTCGTCCAGATCTGCTCCTGGGCAGCCGGCACAGCAGCCAAAATGGGAGCCTTGGTGGCGACCTTGGTGCGGGCGGCGGCGGCGGCCGAGGAGGATGAGGCCGAGGATGTGACCGTGGATCCAGAGGAGGAGGAGCCGCCGCCATAGTAGTTCACCTGCGGCGCATGATCCGGCAGGGGATAGGCATCCAGTTCCTGGTGCAGAGCCTCAGCTTTGGGCATATAGGAGGCGGCTGCCTGGGCGCCAAGGTGATCCTCCTGCTCGTCCTGATCCTCCTCCTCCTGGTTCTCCGTGGAGCTGTCCAGCTGCTCCTGCGAGGGAATCAAGAAGAACTGCTGGTTCTCCTGGGCCAATCGATTGCGCTGCTGGCTGACCAGCTGGCCCTCTAATCTCTCAGCCACCGGGACATGGGATCTCCTCTGGGCCGGCGGCTGCTGAAGCAGGCGTCTCTGCAGGGCATCCGGCAGGCAAATGGGTCGCACATGATCCGAATAACTGACCGGGGTTTCCAGACGCACGAGGGCCGCCGTCGAGCCCTCCACCGGACTTTTGATCATGCCAATGATGCGACGGCGCTGCGTCCATGGCGCCTTGGCCGACAGACGGACTGCACCCACAATGGCCATCCAGGTGGCACGCGGCTGGCCCTGAAAACAGCCCTCGGTGGTGAGGACCCAGTCCTGCGAGATCAGGGTGCCGTCGCACACGTGGATGTCCTCGCGGAAGAGGGCCACCAGCCAGGGCCAATCCCCGGGTGCCGACATCTTAGGCAGCGACAGGTGCTGCTTGGCGTTGAAGAGCGCAGACTGGACGCCACACCGCAGCTCCCCACATCCCACGTAGAGGACCTGTCGCCGGGGGCAGTGCGTCCGGATAAAGCTGATCTCGGGCGCATGGGGATCCAGGACACGGACGTAGTCGCTCAACTGCTCCGTGTCGTTCTGCACATCGAAGATCTCCACGGATCTGCAGATGGATAAAAAGGTATAGTATTAACATGGGGTTTTCAAGGGGTATGGATAAATACTTACTCGTATCCCAGGGACTTGCAGAGCGACTCGGAGACCGTTTGGCGCACTACCAACTTGGCATCGCCCTCCAGACCCTCGGCGCACAGCTTGCCCACTACCCCCTTTTCGGAGAATACGGCATAGCCGGCGGCATGGAAGCGGGAGAGGTACGGAACCAAGGGCTCCGGTTGCAGCAGATCTGCCGCCAGCGGGGCTATGGATACTGCGAAAGATAAACAATCGATATATCATTAAAAATTATTGCTTAAAACAAAATATTTTAATTCATGTAAGAAAAAAAATAGGATTTAAAAACAACATATTACATAAAATCCGACTTATAATAATTATACTTTTAGAGACAATTATAAGTTTAAAAAAATCTTAAGAGATTTCTTAAGACCCCTCTCTCCCTAGATACCTTATTATAATTATATTTTATTTTTCAGAATTTTTCAAGGACACCCCATTACTCACGGCAATCCTTTTCATCGGCGCCATCCGGACAGTCCGCCTTGCCGTCGCATCGCGCCTTGCGCGGCACACAGGCCCGACCACGCCCACAATAGAGGGCGTTGGGGGAGCAGAAGGCGCAGCTACGCTCGTCGGACAAATCCGGACAATCGGCATAGCCATCGCAGAGCCGGGGACTCTGGACATTGGACTGCATGTCGCTGACGCAGTGGGGCTTCTGGTGGCACGACTGGGTGCCCGTGGACTCCGGGAAGCGTTCGCAGTCGAAGAACTGCCGGAAACGCTGCGGCAATCGACTACCGCATCCGGTCATAAAGGATTCACAGTACTCGCGGCAAATCTGACCCGGAGTGGGCTGCAAATCGGAGCCGTGGGTGTTGCAAGGCGGCTGCAGCAGGCGGCACACAAAGTCGTAGGCCTCCCGATGGCATTCACCATCAACCAGTTCCCGGAACACGATCACATCCTCGGCCAGCTGCTCGTAGCTGGCGTGTCCGAGGAGATTCGGATAGGTGGTTATGTTGTAGCCCACCTGGCGGCAGTAACTTAACTCCAGGGGCGAGCAGCGACGCGGCGGAGCCGGAGTGGTTGTCACCACCGGCTCGGTGGTCTCATCATGACCGCCCAGCGGCGAACTGGACATCACCGGCTCCTCGATCAGCCCGGTCGTCTCCTTGATGCTCAAGCTGGCCACGTCCACCGTCATGTTGGCAAAGTGCCGGCGCTGCTGCGGGGGCTGGGTCATCTCCTCGTGGAACAGGGCCAGCAGGTCACCGCTGCTCACCAGACCCGCGTAAGGATCGAAGATCATGTTGAAGTGCACGACTATGTTGTTGTTGTCCTCGCTGCTGCAGGTTTAAATGCCGAACAAGTTAATATTAAGGTTAAACTGCACTTAGTATAAATCAATCCCAACCAATCAATCACCCAACAAAAAATATGCCCATAGAAATGCAGACCCCTTACAAAAAATGAAATAATTTGTCAAAAAATAAATCTTTCTTAAAGTGATAGGGATCGATAGCAATTGAAGCAAGCTGCTCAAAACTGTCGGTCTTTTAGCTGTACGCCTTGATTTGGCTAAACTACGACTGAAAAACCACTAAAAAATGAGTATTTTTGACCAAAATCTGAATCTCAAAAATAAACGACCTACCCCCTTACAAAAAATGAAAAAATTTGTCAAAAAATAAATCTTTCTGAAAGTGATAGGGATCGATAGCAATTGAAGCAAGCTGCTCAAAACTGTCGGTCTTTTAGCTGTACGCCTTGATTTGGCTAAACTACGACTGAAAAACCACTAAAAAATGAGTATTTTTGACCAAAATCTGAATCTCAAAAATAAACGACCTACCCCCTTACAAAAAATGAAAAAATTTGTCAAAAAATAAATCTTTCTTAAAGTGATAGGGATCGATAGCAATTGAAGCAAGCTGCTCAAAACTGTCGGTCTTTTAGCTGTACGCCTTGATTTGGCTAAACTACGACTGAAAAACCACTAAAAAATGAGTATTTTTGACCAAAATCTGAATCTCAAAAATAAACGACCTACCCCCTTACAAAAAATGAAAAAATTTGTCAAAAAATAAATCTTTCTTAAAGTGATAGGGATCGATAGCAATTGAAGCAAGCTGCTCAAAACTGTCGGTCTTTTAGCTGTACGCCTTGATTTGGCTAAACTACGACTGAAAAACCACTAAAAAATGAGTATTTTTGACCAAAATCTGAATCTCAAAAATAAACGACCTACCCCCTTACAAAAAATGAAAAAATTTGTCAAAAAATAAATCTTTCTTAAAGTGATGGGGATCGATAGCAATTGAAGCAAGCTGCTCAAAACTGTCGGTCTTTTAGCTGTACTCCTTTATTTGGCTGAGCTACGATTGAAAAACCCAAAAAAAAGAGTTTTTTTGACTAAAATCCGAAACCAAAAAAAATCATTATGCAAACTCTTAAAAAAATGTGAAAATTTGTCAAAAAATAAATTCCTCCAAAAGTGATGCAGATCGTTAGCTGGGGAAGCAAGCTGTCCAAAACAGCCATCACCAGTTTTCTGACTAAACTCACCCGTCCAGTGCCAAAATCTCGCTGCCCTCGTAGGCCTCCCGCAGATCGGATCGCCGCAGTGTTAGATTGATCCGCTCCCGGTAATCGCGGGCCTTGTGCTGGAACCTCAAGGAGTTCTGGTTGGCCAGCTCCATGTTCCACTTGTCGTTGAGCACCATGAATCGGCCGCGGAAAACGCGATCCGGCAGCGGTTCCGGCCGGAAATAGGTATCTACAGAGATTGGTGTTTAGTTATAATATATTATATTGGAAACCACTTTTAAATGTCATTTTAGGTGTATAAAAGTAGGCAACCATATATTTTAAGACCGTAGTTCAATCAATTAACTCAAAAAGAAGATTATCCAATATGTACTGCATACTTTTAGGCACCTTAAATTACATTTAAAAGTGATTTGTATGGCATTTCCCATAGGTTTATAAGAAACTAAAGCTTGAGTATTTTAAGATTTTATATATTCACAAAGAACCATAGATGGAAGTACTCACATCCCACATAGACGAAAACTCCGGCGACGAGGAGGGCGATGAGGAAACCGGCGATGACGGCGCAGCCACACTTTTGGCCATCGCCCAGTTTCCGGCGGGTGAAGCGGATATCCGAGTCGGTGGACAGGACGGACTCGGACTTTCTGCGCAGGCCGTGGTTGTGCTGGTGCTGGTGCATGTGAAGGTGGTGTTCCCGCTCCCGTTCCCGCTCCCTGTCTCGCTCCCTCTCCCTTTCTCGATCCCTGTCCCTGTCCCGATCTCGCTCTCTTTCCCTCTCCCGCTGCTGCGTGGCCTCCAGTGCTGGTCCATTGGAGCTGGCTCCTCCTCCTCCTGCGCCTCCTCCTAATCCTCCCAATCCTCCTAATGCCGCGGAAGCTGCCGTTCCATTGCCGTGACTGTGGTGCGGTTTGTGGTGCCTTGTGCATCGGGTGTTGTGGAAAACCTTTGGCGGTTGGGCTGTGGTGCCCACACCCACTCCCACTCCAGCTGCGCCACTCGGATTGGGATTGCTCTGGACAATGCCCTGTAAATAACCGAAAAATAAATAAATAAAGAGAGAGAGAAAAAAGCAGCCATCAGTATTAAGCACTTTTCGGCGGACTCAATAATTAAGCAAGGTCGCTGACCAGCTAAGAGCCTTAAATGCTGTTGATTTTTCAGCCAAATCATGCCGTTAAATCAAATCACGGAACGAACCGGCTGAGAAAACTCTAAACAACAAATTTGAGAGGAAAAACTTAAAATCTCGCACTTGAAAATGAT